CATTCTCTATAAAGGATTTTTTTGTTCACAAAAGATTTTTTTGTCTTCAAAATTTTTTTTTTTCACCAATGATGTTGGCCATTATAAATAGGTGAGAAGATGTGTAGTTTTAATATGTAAAAACAAGAGTTGAGAGTTTTTTTTTAAAAAAATATAAGAATGGATCTACAAAGGGTTTTGGGTATAAAACTCATTGTTAGAAACTAGTATAAATTATATTTTAGGGCCTCACCTATCGGCTTAAGCTTTTAGGTGAGATAGTCATTTAATCCGGTATCGAGCTTGGTTGACCTTGAGGTCCCGAGTTCAAGTCTCACTATCCTTAATTTCTCAAGTATTAAGCACAAGGCAATGTAGACCTATGCAAGTTTCGTGCCTCGGATGTTGGGCCTTTCACTTGAGGGGGTGTGTTAAAAACTAGTATAAATTATATTCTAGGACCTCACCTATCGGCTTAAGCTTTTAGGTGAGATGGTCCTTTAATACTCATAATCACATTTTGTACTAATTTTTTCTCAATAAAAGACTTCTCCCGAGTTTACGGAGTAGGTATGATTTTGATAAACTACGTTAAATCTTGTGTGTCCATTCTTTATTTATCTTATTCATCTCTATTATTATTTTTATTGAATTGGATTGTTCATAGTGGTTCTTAAATCTCGGATCCTTAATTTTTCAGCAAACCGGTATCGAGTTTTGATTTTGAAAAATTCAGTTTTTGATCTAGAACGATATTTGTATATGACAAGCTTCAATTTATTGTGGAATAATTTGATAAAAATGAAAGTTTTACATTTTGAAAATGAAAGGCGAAAGACATTCTTATTCAATGGGATTTGGGTAAAGCGTTGAACGAAAATGATGTGATGTTATGGATCTTGGAATGGTAAAAATCTAAATGTTTGGATGGCATGATTTATGTTCCGGAAATGCATAAAAATCGATATCGTTAAGCCAATTGGACTCCTAAAAATATAGTTATTTTGCTTGATGTGGAATCTTAAAAAGTCACACATGATGCTACAATCCTAATAAAAAGAGAAAAGTATGATGATTTATATCATCTCATTAAAAAGATAATGACCTCAACGAGTGGCTGGAAATAAAATGCACAAGATGATAGCTATTTAAAAAGAGTCTCTTTGGTGAGAAAAAAAAGACAAGAATTATGCATTCTCCAGTTTCAAATGAGTGTGAGGGGAAAGTTCGTGTTGAGAAAGAGGATGGATCGATGACTCTCTCTAGAGTTAATAAGTAAACTTGACTCGGGTTTGGCGGTGCTTTGAATCAAGTGGAGTTGAAAATTATTTTATGAACCATGTTATTTGCAATCGATAAATTTTAATACCAATAGTTATTTCTATTTTTTTATTTGCATTATTTATGAATATGTGAAGTGAACAAACTTTAAGGTGACAAGAATATTCACTAAATTAGAGATTGTTGAGTTTATAACTTATATCCTTTAGGTGTCGTTTGGTCACCGAAATAAAAAATCTAGAATGAGAATACAAAAATCGAATAAAAAGTAAAAAATCAAAATAACATTTGCTTCTATACAATGTTTAAAATACTAATAAATAATCAAAATAAAATTTAATTTTTAATACAACTAAGAATAATGATTAAAAAAACTTTCATCAACTATGATTACGAGTAAAAATAATAAAGGTGATTGTAATAAGAATGGTAGTGGTTATGGAGTAAGTGAAGTTGGTAATAATAATAGTATAATAATAATAATAATATATTTTAAAAAATTGGTGTCATCATTATAAGATGTGACAGTGAAAGAATGATAGTGGTTGTAATTATGGTAGTATAATAAAAGTGATGGCGACAATGATAAAGAAAGAATTGTAATATAATAATAATAATAATTTTTTTTATCACTATTGCTAATTGAGATGATGATGATAGTGATGGCGATAGAAGTGGTTAACACACTATAAATAAAAATAATATATTATTATTTTTTAAAAAAATTCATTAATTCTCATTCTTTATTATAAAACTATATGTAATTTTCATTCTCATTTACGAGTCTTTATTTTCATTCTCACTTTATTATTTTCAACCAAACATCAACAAAATATAAATAAAACTTCTATTTTTATTACTACCACTCCATCCTTGATAACCAAATAACACTAAGTAATTTTTCCAATAGAGTCTTGATGACTCTAATTTATTTAGTTATTATGAAATAAATGATGAGCACTTAGGCCTCCCAATAAACCGAAAAAACAAAACATATCTGTGTAATCAATTTAACTGTAAAATATCCAAAACTTTATCTCGACATATAAGGAAAATCTCTACAATATTATATATGAAAGTTGTTTATTGGACATAATCATCAGTCCTTCTAAATAAGCGTGAGCATAAAATACGTAATATTTCATGTGCCATGTGTGATAAAAAATAATTAATTTTTTTTTAAAAAAAAAACAAAACAACAACTTATCTGAGTGAAACTGGTTTGGATTAACACGTTTTTGAAACAAAAAAAATACTGCGTGATGGATTTTCGTCATGCAATTAGCTGGTGTTGGTCAAATTGGCAAAAAGGATTTAACTTGGGTCTTTCACCATGTAAAATCTAAAATGTATTAAATGATCACTAATACAGGCATTTCTTTTTTTAATCACTAGCTTTTGTTATCAGGTGTTGAACAGACAGAAACAACCACGTTTTGCTTTTTAAGAAGTCAACTTTTGTTCGGATTGGCCGGTTAAGTACACGAAATAAGCTGCAAATCTGAACCAGCTAGCTCCTTCTCCTTCTCTCTCTCTCTCTCTCTCTCTCTGCCACGAGGCCGGCAAGTGGATGTTTTTGTAGAATCCAGGAAGGCATTATTCAAACTTGGACCAGCTTCTCAGAAGAGAAAATCTGACCAGCTGCAATTAGGATATGAATACCTCAATTATAAATTTATATATTATAATGCTGACTTTCCTCGTTTGATTCATTTCACTTCATAATCTAATTAGCTGCCGTATTCCTTAAATCCTCATTTCTTGGAATCGGAGGTAAGGCTATATATTTTGAGTTAATTATAAGTAGCTCCCTGTAGTTTATTTAATTTATATTTGGTCCTCATTGTTTAGGAAACTATTTTTTAATTAATCCTTTGCTCCAATATGCTATATTCGTCTCCATTTTTGTTTTTCTTATTTCTTAAAGAACGAGAACTAAATAAGTTAAGTGCGTGAGAGAGGAAAATTTGATTAGAAAAGATTTGAAAGAATGTTACAAAAAACCTACAAATTAAAGAGAATGGTCAACATTAATCAAATGACTATATAATCTTTTGATGTTGTATCTGCATGGAGTAATTGTTAGTTCTTATAAATTTTAAGGACTAATTTACACTTAACATCACATATATTTCATGTTTATTCGTCCTCAAATAGAGTTAGAATTGAGAATTAGAAAACGAACAATTTTGGTTTTCCCTTTCATTGAATTTGAACAACGAATGAATAATTTCCTGGAGCCTTACATTTTAACTTTCCATTATCTGGAAGAATGTGAAACATTCAATTAGACATTTCATCATCCCATGAATAGTCTGGTAGATAGATCATCGATGTTCAGGCGACTAGTAATTTCCACGAAAGGGTGAATTGAAGTTGGATTCACAGGTTTTGGCATACAACTTTCTGTGGTGGTTGAGACCCATTATGGAGCGAGGAGTCAGCTCTGAAGGTTCTTGGCTGTTAGAATTTGACGTCTTATAGTGACAAAAAGTTTTGCAGACCATTCTAGGTTTTGAAGGAGTTTGGTAAGAATTAATAAATTATTTCAATCCACGCCGTATTACACATGCATCCTTGTTATTTTTGCCCTATTACATATGCATCCCTTGTAATTTCTTTTTAGTTTTACTGTCAAAATTATTCTCAAACCAATTTCACTTCTTCATGAACCATTGAAAGAATTTGAAGCTTCTCATATTTTTTTTTTAAAGAGAACATAAGAGGATCCAAATTCGTTAACTTTATAGAAGCAACGAATCTTCTTAAATATGAAAATGTTTGATATTTTAAATCAATAGATGCAAAAACCTACATCTTTATTTATAAGTTTTGAAAAGTGTCGTCATTCAATATATGTAAAAATTAGGAAGCTAATCAATTTTTTTTTTTTTTTAACATGAGCTTTTTATTTCTTTTATTATTATTATTTTAATTTTGGTGGTTAGTTGATTTGATTTTAAACTTCTCATTTTTTATGATGCTTGTTAATAGTAAGTTACGTGCACTTGTACTTTGAACAAGGATAAAAAGAAGAAGCTAAAATATGGGTTTTAAGGTTATTGTTATAAAACCATCAGGGGCGATGAAGCAGTATTATAGGAGAAAAATCATCCAAATTAGGATAGTTGTATATTATGCCAAAATTGTGGACGGAAAATAATGCACGCCTACAATCATTGTTAGAGTAGTTCTTTTTATCAAGCACTAGTAAGTGATATTGCCCGTGGAAGACAAGTGCTAAAAAAGAAAAATCATGATATTAAAGTTACATTTTTGGAAATTATTTTCCAAGATCAATTTGACACCCTTGTTATGAGGAGAATGCATGGAAAGCAATTGCGAAGCTAATAAAGCCATCTTACCATATGAGCGAAGAGCATCAGTAATCACACTTGCTACAAAAATATGTCCAACAGAACAGAATTGGCTCATTTCTTGTATAAGGTTTAATTACATTTGAAAAAAAAAAACAGTAGTTGCCATCTCAAAAGTGCCTTACAATTCATATGTATCATTTTGACTAATGTTTCAAATTGCTAACTTTTGATTATGTGGACATGAGATACTTTTCACTTTCAATGGTTCATCTCCACTAATTAGTATACTGGTCAAAAGTAGAGTTGGAATGTAGCTGTAGCCTCTATGCTCCCCGCAGCCACAGGCTGGGGCCTCATTGAGAAAACCTAGTGCTTTGCTTTTGCCAAGCATCCAAAATTTTCAGCGAGTTTGAAGATTAATCACCCTGCAAAAGAGAAGACGGAAGAAGCATACTTCAGCACACATTAGGAATAACCAACGTCCTAGCATTTCTAGATAAGAGATTTTTTCTTACAATACGGCACAAGATTCTCAACCTTCATACTATTAGCACCTCGAAATAATTCATTCACTTTTGAAGAATATCAATTGATCGAGAAAAGGGACATCAAATTGAATAGAGCAGTCCATTTAAGCGTAGGATCATACAGAAAGACTTAATTACCATGATGTAGACTTACCATAATTTCAAGCCTCACGAAAATATGGCATTAACAAAAGCCTCAGCATCAAAGGGTTGGAGGTCTTCCACACCTTCTCCAACACCCACGAACTTTACAGGGATGCCAAGCTCATCAACGACACTGACCTGCATAAGAAAATTAGTCTCACTAATCACACAAATCATGAAACAAACGGAATTCATTAAAACTGGAGCATACCACACAGCCGCCTCTAGCAGACCCATCGAGTTTTGTCAAAATGAAACCAGTTATTCCAACAACCTGTTGGCACAGTTGCATGTTAAAGACTCGAACAAGATGTTTAACACTTGAAGAAAGCATAACAGCATTAAAGCATGGTGTTGGGGAAACTTTAGATATATGAAAAACAAAAAAAGCTATAGGCGAGTGTGTTGCAAGCAATTTGTCTAATTGTTCACTCCTCAGTAAGGTTTTTCCTTCGAGTTTCTGCCCCTAGATAATCATGTTTTGACTGTGGCCTCTCTCCTTTCCTCCTTTTGGATTATTCCTTAGGATGTCTAAGAATCTTTTTTCTTTCTTCCCAAAATTATCACGGGCACAAAAAGGCCAACACAGAAGTTGACAACATGCACATTATAAACAGAGAAATAATTACTAAAAAATATATATATTACTCCCCCAAACCCCAGAACATACATATATATTCACAAGTCCAAAAAAGGGTTAAATTATATATAATCACATTTCAAAAAAGAAAAATCAACTTAATGCAAACAATGAATACCGAGTCATGTTTGATGGAGAAATATGGGATGGGGATATTACTTCATTGAACTCTCTTGCTTGTGGAAGCATATTCAAACCAGTAGTCCCATCCAATACCAGTAAGATCTCCTGCAAATCTTAAGAAATGACATTTCACGAATCTACAAAAATTGGTGTTACAAGTCAAATCAGATATTTGGAATGACAAAGCAGAGAATCTCGATATTCAACTTATCCAAATTAATTTTCAATAACTGATGATCATAACCATATATCTTATCTCAAAAATCCATATAGAGCTGTAATTACAAAACATCGGACAAAGTATTTCAAAGGATTAAGATTTCTGCTAAAATTTATGAAATTAGGAACTTGTAAATTAACCATGAAAGATGATGTTGGAAACAGAAACAATGGTATGGCAGTCAAAACTTAAATATAAAACATCACAATGAGGTCACACTAATAAAATTTTACAGGATGCATTGAAACACTTCAATGCTAATAAGATGTTCAAGGTGCCAAACAGTTGAGCTTACATTAGGCGCGCCACGAACTATTTTGCCTACAGCTTTCTTGCATGCTATTAACTCTTCCATGAGGCTGTAATTAGTGTGGAGACCTGACAAATAGATATATATTTCAGTTAAAATATAACAGGTGGAAAGCACATAAAAGTTAGATAGTTAATCATGGGGTGTCCATAGACTTACGTCCAGATGTGTCACACAAAACAATATCAAATTCCTGTTCTTTCCCTTTCATCACAGCCTGAGAAAGAACTATTCAGAAACCACTTTAATATCATATGTCAGTAGCTATACCAAGTCATTCACACTTTTAAAGATTGTAAAAGCTAAAGAAGAGAGACTAATTTCATTAGAGATCCAGTTGTCTACCTGATGATGCTTTGGCCTTTTCTCTTTCAGCCACAACAATCTCACACCCAGTTCTTTTGGCCCATATCTCCAACTGATCACTGGCAGCTGCCCTAAATGTATCACCTGCTGCCATCAGTACCTAGAAAAATAGCAAAAACAAAAGTAAATAAAGATGGACCTTTTGTGGATAAGACAATCTCTCTTGTTGGAAGCATCAGGAAGGACAAAAGGATAAGCTAAGCAACAATTCAACCCAAAAGAGAAAAATGGAAAGAACAAAAAAATCATACAGGCACAAGTACTGCAGTAGGATCCCAGAACATAGTATTCTGACCGCATTTCCTGGTACAACCTCTATATTTGCAAAATAATAACTTGATTCATTCCCCTAGGAGTCGATATCAATTTTCTAAGCCCCTGTGATAGTTCTATCCATTCAGCTGACAATATGGATGTCGCACAATGCTTACTGTATAATTTTTTTTTTCCCAAATTATAACATTTATTCTGCCTTTTGGTCGTATCCTACTGTCCTGGGTTCAACTAGGGCAGAGAAGATGTCTTAGGTCCAACTGTAGAAGAAAATTTAGAACTGCCCTTTATTTGAATATTATGTTATAGTTCTACTGGAAAAGCACAATTCATTAAGGAATTTGTGCGAAGGAAGTCTTTCTGAAACATATACCATCTACTTTAAAAGCAAGGCAAGAAAGGGCTGGAAGTTTCACATTCTCCAAAATAAATCTAGTCTTAATCCATATCAGTAGAATCGAAAGACAGTATCGGTGTTTGATAAAACAGCATCATCAAGAAATATTACACCAAAATTCAACAACACATTAAACTTTTGAGCCCTCATCCCAACAAGCATGTCTTCCTTAGGATGTCAAAATCAATCGCCTGAAACTTGGAATGATATTATCTTCAATTCAGCTCTAGAAATAACACAAATTTTAATTTTCTAATACTCTCTCTCTCTGTAGAAGCATTTATCACATTGCAGCAAAAGCAAACAAAATCTCACCTTTGCTCCTTCATTCTTCAATCTATATGCTAGCTTTCCTGCAGAAACAGTAAATGAGATCATATTTTTTCAGCAATGAATAGAAACAATATATATATAGAAAAAACTCAAGAACAAATGTCCATGAGAGTGTATTTTGGCGGGACCTTAAACTTCTCAAAATGGTAATAAAGCCTCCCTAAGCTTCCCCGTAAGATTTACAACTCAAAACACCGCACAATTTACCACCTGATACTTCACCAGCTTCCCTATCAGGGCCACACTTATCTCAAAGTGTATATTGCCAGAAACCATTAAAAAAATTGGCATTCATTGAATTGGCTTAGGTAAATATTCTGTTAAGTCCTTAAAAAGTTCACCCTCATTTGAAAATTTCAATTCAAAACCAATAATTAGAACCTCAATTCGACTTACCAAGAGATGTTGTCTTCCCACCTCCATTAACACCAACTATCATTACAACAGCCGGTTTCCTTATAAAACAAAATAAACCATATCAGCTCGAAATTAAAAACCAACTTTTCCATCGCACAAAAAAAAAAAAATCTGAACCTGAATCCAAGTTGAAGCTCAGTTTTATTCCCTTTCTTCTCTAGCAAATCCAGCACACTCTTCTTCAGTGCATCCTTAAAAAAAAAAAAATATATATATATATATACACTTGAAATGCCAATCATTTTCTTTTCTGAACCGTTGAATAATTCAATACCTATAATAATAATAAAAAAATACCTTTATTTCACTCCCTGATTTAAGCTTCCCTGCTAATATATCCTCCCTCAAACTCTCCACAATCTGAATAGTAATTCTTGGCCCAAAATCAGACACCAACAAAGCCTACAATCAAAACCAAATATATATTAAAAAAAAAATCATAACTTTCATCCTTTTGCTTCTTCTTTTTTTTTTAAAAAAAAAAGCTTAGACTAAAGCATTTTCTTAACCTCCTCGAGTTCGTCGAGGACACGGTCGGTGTCAGAGAGGTTCCAGTAAAGTAAGAGTTCATCAATGACGGCAAGGTTGTCTCTGGTTTTGGAGAAACCTGAGAAGATTTTTTCCACATCGCTTTTGGCTTTCTCTTTTATTAAGCGGCCTAGTTTAGTAAAGAACCCGGTTTGGCTGGCTAAACATTTGAACCGGGTGGGTTTGAATTGTGGGTTGAACCGAGTTTTCGGGATGGTGGAGAAGAGATTGTTAGGCTGTGGTGGTGATGGTTTGCAGAGAAGTGGGAGATGAGCTACAGTAGCCATTTCTTAGCTCTGCAACTGTGAGTGTTTTTCTTTTCCTTTTTTTGCCTATGGATAAACTAGCTTTCAACGATGTCGTTTTTCCCCAAAATGAGCACTTTCTCTCTCTTTATTTTCTCCTTCAAATGGGCCATTATTATGATTTATTAGTTCTAACATGTAACCTTGTTTTCAATGGTTCCATTCCATCATCCAGTGATTTCTTTTTCTGTTTTTGCTTCTTCTTTTTTTTTTTCAATAAGCAGTTTCTTTTTCCCCGTCGCATATACTAACATCAATTAATGTAAATTAAATTATTATATTAAAAAAATAATAAGGTTTAAGGTTTTATAACGTGATTGCAGTCATATAGTCAAAAAATCAGAAACATGCTCAATGCAATTAATTTAATTAAAGGAGGCTTATTAAATTTGTAACCAGAAGAGTTCATATCTCCTACAAATTTTGGGAATTGATCAGTAAAATTCTCATAAGTTTTCTAACAAAAGCAGTTGAGTTTTGTAACTCAAATTAGTCCATATTAATTACTATTCTTCAACATGGATTGGAGATGCTTTTATCACACACTCACTTCCATTTTTTTTTTTCGATTTCTGTCCTCCAACAATGAGTTGTCGTCAGAAGCTATAATCCTTGCCTTTAATCAACTTCTATGTTGATTGCGTGTAGGCCAAGTTCTAGAAATGAATTTTGGAAGGTTATTAATGTTTGGTTTTTTAGGTCTGTAGGTTTTGGGGAAGCTTTGCTAAAGAATAATGCTAGAAATGTTAAGAGTTATTTATTTATTTATTAAATGACGTGGCAATATGTGACAGGTGTATATAAATTTAATAACGATAATACATGCCACATTAATTGTGAATGATCTACCCTATCAGGATTTTAAGAATTTTCTCTAATGAACATGCCACATCATTTAATAAAAAAATTAGTAAAATCTTTAAATGATTCTTTAATTACTTTACTTGTTTTATCAGCAAAGTTTACAGTTAAAAATACGGAATGGGACCTAAATCAACGAAAACATTCAAGTTTTTTTAATAATTAAATAATATTTTTGTTTAAAAAATAATTTTAAATGTTAATTTATATAATAAGTTTTTTTCTTCAAAAATTATTTAACAGTTTCATTTTTTTTTACCATTTAAACTAAAACTATTAAATAATTTTTGAAAAAAAATTATTAAATAAATTGGCATTTAAAATTATTTTCGAAACACAAATATTATTTGAATGTAAAAAACGGAATTGGGCCTAAATCAGTGAAAAATATACAAGTATTTTTTTAATTATTAAATAATATTTTTGGGCCTAAATCAATGTAATAAATAAATAAATAAAATGCTTTAAAAAATCAAATTATTTTCGAAAAAAAGCTAATAAAAAAAAAACCGAATAGCTTTGAAATAATTTGTGTATTTTTTAGTCCTTTAACTTTTGATATTTTTTTTTAATCTAGTTTTCCTATCAAACTTTCTCTCAATTTAACATTATTTTTAATCCTCGACAACATATCAGAAAACCTGACAGTAAATGTTAGGCCACGTGCGAAGAATTAACGGAAAATCATAGGAATCAAATATACAATTAATCTTTCTTTTTTTCCTACCCCCTCCATTCGTTCATTTCCAAGAAAAGAAAAGGCCTTCCAAATCCCATAAAACCCTAATTTCCCTTCCAAATTTTCAAATTCCTCAGTGATACAGCTTTCCTCCTTTAAGCTCTGTATCAACACGTATAACTCCAATTCTCCATCACTCTTCCTCAGCCCAATGTCTCTCAAATTGTACTTTATAACGTGACAACATCTTTGATATATAATGGCTATTCCTTTTCCAACTCAACAGTTATGTGGACAAATAAGGCTTCATGCTGCCAAACTTCAATTACATTTAGGGGGAGACGAGGATAGAGTGGGCCAAAATCTGAATCATTATGTTGAAACCCTATTCTTACCATTGCAATTCTTGAATATGGACCGCTCTCTCTTCCTCTAGGAAGAGGTACCAGTTGCAGCTGTGGTTGAGTTCGAAATTAGACCAATGGAGACACGGGGAATTGAACCACGCGTGGAAGGTGTTCCATGGGTAAAAGGGGAGTGGATTTCGAAGTTCATCTCGAGAAGTGAAAATCGTAGACGCCTGATATTGTTGCACATATTACCGCCAATTCATTAGCACAGAGGATTAAAGCAGGGAGAAATAGAACTCCAGCCCCCCAGTTTAAAAATAATTAAAAACCCCCTTGTTCTTAGAATTTTTGTCACGCAAGTCCTGATGAAATGGCCACCCCAATATGCTTGATCATGGGAAATAATGATTAACAGTTGGCTAGGCTGCTTATCAAATTATAGGCAAATATGGAATCTCGTAATGCGCCCCGCAAACAACTCACGAAAACAAGTATATATCCATTGCATTACAGAGTACTAGAATGCAACAATAGATGCTGAACTTCCAAGTGGAACAGCAATGCCTGCATGATGTATAGTATGCCTAGGACATTATTCTATCTCATTCCGAAAGTCCATTCTAACTTCTTTTTCTTTCCTTCCCTTTTGGATGCGAAAATTCAATCTGCAGGAACAGTAGGAATCCAAAACGGTGCGATCTTAAATTAGCCCCAGAGATAAGGAAAATAATCACTACCTTGGATTATGAACCAGCTTATTGCACTACTTCATCCAACAGCATGATTCTTTCAGCTAAAAGCCTAAAACTGCATCAAGGATCAATTAAAGAAAAGTACTAAAATGCCAAATAAGCCATCAAAATTCCACAAGTCTGCATGTACTATTCCCTTTTCAACATTTACCAGTGCACAAGAAAGATCCCTTTTCAGCATCACGCACATTATGTCCAAAAGGTTCGAAATGATCAGTCTCATACCGTGTGATTTTAAACAAAAAATAGGTAAAAGCAAATACACATGCACTATCCACTTGCAACAAGAGTCAGAATGGAAATGAGCACCTTATTGCAATACTGAAAGGAGTCCATACGGGTATTACAGGCAAGGTGGAGATATAATTTCAGACCAATTAGATAGCATGTGAAAGCATGGAAATTTTCATCACTTGGCAGCAGGCATGCGTTTGAAGGTAGCACGAGAAGCATAGAAGAATTTCCTGGTTTGCTTGATGCTGAATTCAGTTGCAACTACAGTCAAATTCTCTCCACCCCTCAATAAAGACCCTTCAACTACCAACACCTCCCGCCAAGATAAATTTATCATGTGGTTGCAGCGTACAAGATGACAATCTTAAAGCCTGTAAAACCTTAAATCACAAAGAGAACACTACAAATTGCTGCTAAATATTTACTAATGTCTCCCATAACCATTAAGCAGCAGTAAACAGCCCATTTAAGTAAAAGTTTCGAATCTAGAGAGCTAAACAAGACATTAAATGCAAAAGAAAGAAATTGTACACTGGACTGGAGAACTTCCTATTTTTCGAAGCAGCACAGGTCAATTCAATTTCACTGCATAGGCATACATAATCAACAAACTCACAATCTCGAAGGGTTATACAAATAAAACTGACAAACCCCATCATCAGCCTCAAGGCTTTTTTCTGTTCAAAACGAGAAAAAAAAAAAAAAAAAAAATCACAATTACTGTTGCTGCAGAGAGATAGGACATGTTTAATTCACCAAGAGATCGTCAGCCACAATGGACACTCTCTTTGCTATAGTGCCAGCAGCCCCTCCATGTAGTCCATTAAAGCAATTGTACAACAACCCCATCAAGAAAGAGAACAAATTCTTTAACAATCCCATTTCTTGGTAATTAAAAGAAGAAAAGAAAAAAAAAGACAATAAAATAAAAAGAGATAAGGGCAGAGATCTTCTGCCAACAGCAGGTAAGACAGGGAGGGTGCAGGAGACACGGCCACATTGGACATTGTCAGCTTTTTGGAGAACAGGAATGAGATTGGAACAGAATTCCTTAGATTTGGTGTTTTGAGGGAGAGAGGCATGGATTCTGTTGTTTGCGGAGAAACCAGTGTTTGAACGCATGGGTTGGAGGCACTTAACATGACATGAAATTCTCCTCATGGTTTGTTTTCCTACTATACTATTTTCCAGCAGACTTGATGTCTAAATACTTCCAGTTTTTACAAATCTGAACTCCAGCCATCACGCTGTTGGCTGGTGTGGTCACTCTCTCAAGTGCCATTAGTCTGAGGTAAGAACCGCAGGACCACATCCCAAAAGCAAGCCCACACCCACCCCCCTGCGGGGGAAAAAAAAAAAAAAACCTACAACTGGCTATCGGACATGTTAAAGAAACTAAAATAAAAACTCAAAGCAACAACAGTTATTACTGCAAATACACTTGACCAGCTTCAGCTAAAAGAAAATTCATAAAAACAATAATGCCACAGATGATATGAATATTTCAGTCAGATTTAGTTATATTGCCACAGATGCTTCATCGTTTGAAAGAGTCATAGCAGTTGGCCAAGCTGCGTACTGAATTCTCAAGTAAAGATGGAATCTTGCAATCTCTGTCCCTGCAAAATGCTCATAGAAACAAGCATCTACATGAACAACATTACAAAAGACTAGAATGCAACAACAAAAGATGCTGAATGTGTAAGTGAAATAGAAATGACCGACAAGATATTGAGTTTGTGAATGTTGGAGCTCTAGCCGTTGCTGTGTTCTTGCTGGGTGGATAGCTGCTATGTTCTAGGATTATTATGCCCTGTTCCAAAAGTCCAGTTCAACTTTTTTCTCTTTCCACTTTAAGATTCACAAATTCAATTTGCAGGGAAAAGAACAGGCAAAACAAAATTATCCTAAAGTTGGCCCTTGGCAGAAGGAAAAACTACCCCTAGAGTAAGTACCAGCTTTTGGAACAGGTCATAAAAATCCAAAAACATGATGAAAAATGATTCATTGAAATTCCACAAATTTTTATGTATTATTCCCTTTTCAACATGTACCCTTCAACAAGAAAGATCCTTTTTACCTTGATTTTGGACACACTACTGACATTTCTATTATGACAAAACCAACAAAAGATAGCACTGACCTGTAAGAATAAACTCAATACAAAAGTTCAAATATTCCTTTCGACCATCATGTTCATAATTCAGTTTGAAAGGGTCATTATTTCATTCCTATTTGAGTTTAAACAAACACTATATGAAAAAGCCCGTAAACATAGCCTACCAGCTATGTACATTGTACAACACGATATCAGAGTATATCAGTGAGCACCTCATTCTTGCTGAACAAATGAAAAGACCTCATACATGTTTACAGGCAAAGCATTTAAATAGATACAAACAAGATCGTATGTGAACTCAAATAAATTTCATAACTTGGCAGCAGGCATGTGATAGAAGGTAGCACGAGAAGTATAGACCAACTTCCTGGTTTTCTTGATTCTGAATTCAGATGCAACTACAGTCAAATTCCTTCCACTCCTCACTACGGACCCTTCAACTACCAACACCTCCTGCCAAGATATATCGTTTAATACGTATGATTGTAGTAGATTAGATAAAAATCCTGAAGCATGTAAAACCAATCTAATTACAACAAGGGAAAAAGTTACTCCAGATAACCACCATACAGAAGTTACTCAGGCATTATTAGTGAACGAATTTAAACTTGAAAAACTAAAAAAAAATTGCAAATGCAGGAAATTGAATAGTGGCCAATTTTTTGAACAGCACAAGTTAATTGAATGTCATTGGATCAATTTTTTTGATCAAACACTTGCATAATCAACAAAATTACAATCTGGAAGACTGGCACAGCTAAAAATGACGAACCCCCTCATCAGTCTCGAGGCTTTTCTCTATTACAAAAGAGGCAAGCACTAAAAAGCACCAAAAGGGAAACTCACATGTAGTTTTGCTGCAGATAGATAAGAGATGCTTAGTTCACCAAGAAACAGTTCTTTATCATCAGCCACTACAGTTCTAGCACAAGCAACAGACACTCTCTCTGCTATAGCTCCAACAGCCCCTCCATGTAGCCCATTATATTTATTCTACAACAGTTAAAAAAAATATCAATCCCATTTCTCGATGAATTAAAAACAAAAGAAAAGAGAGAGAATCTTACGCCAACAACAGGCAAGACAGGGACGATGCAGGTGATATGGCCACGTCGGACATGGTCGGCTTTAAGGAGATCGCGAATGAGATCGGAATAAAAGTCTTTAGAAGTGGATTTTTGAGGGAGGGAGGCATGGATCCCAACGCGTCCGAAAAAGCTTTTGACTTCAAAGGCATACTCTGAAGGTAAGTCTTTGGAGAAGGTTGTCGTGGAAGAAGAAGAGGAGGAGGATTCTGTCATTTCGCTCTGTTTCTCTGTATTTTGGAGTCTCGGACCAAAGCTTAAAACCGGCCCAAATCATAAAACTCACCCTGGACCCACTCCAAGAATATTATTCACGCACGCACACAGATAAATATATATTCAACATATAAGAAATAGTAAAATTGAGAAATATAAAAATAAAGAGAAACTAAATTTTGTGTTCTGCTTTGCGTCACGCATCGTCTTCTGTTGTTTTACTTTGCCTACTGTGTGCCAGTTGTTTGTTGAATAGGGTCATACCATTGTGTGGCTTTGGATCTTGAGATTGGAATATTAGTCTTTGGATTTAGTGTTCTGAGAGAGAGAGAGCCATGGATGATGATCTTTGAGAAGAAAGTATTTGTTTTAAACGTATGCCTGTGGACTCTCAACGTAACATGAAACTCTCTTTTCATTGTTGCCTTATTTTCTTTGACAATTTGAGTAATAGAAACTGTGTCTAGTTTCTGCTCCTCTCCTTCCCTGAAGAGATACATCTGTCAAGCAAAGACTGATCAATCGCATGCATGTGGAAGCGAAGTATACTCTATATATCTTGCAATATATTATCTATATTATTGCCCAAGAGCGGTCTGTATACTTGAGAAAGAATGCTTCTGATTAATTTCTTCAAGTAAGAATCTTTGCCAACATTAGTATTGTAAGTCAGCTTGGAAGGACGGTAGATTGAAAGGGCACTTAAGAACCAATAAATTATCCATTTTCCCATTCTTATTTCCTATCTCTTAAGACATTTGAACTTGAATAAAAACAAAAAAAATTAATAGGGAGGGCCTTCCCTCCTAGAAAAGCAAATTAAAGTGGCAAATTATTTTGGTGTTAAACAAGGTCTATGCTGCATATAGGGATAGGGGTCGATCTTAAAGGTCACAACAATGAAAAGATGGATCTTTTAATCTCCTTCCCTGCAAATTTGTCATTGAAACAAGCATCTACACGCGCAACAGTACAGAAGATGAGAACGCAACAACAAAAGAGCGAACACGAAATGACCGACCCACAATATTTAATTGTGAATAATTACCATGTAAATACATAATTTTTAACATTTTCTTAATTAAGTATATAAATTTTATTTTATTTTATAATTTTTTTTCGTTTGAATACATCAATTTTTTCAAAATTATCAATTAAGTATTTTCATTAATTTTTTTATTGATTAATGACGTGTTTGTTATCCTCAAAATATCAAATTATAAATTTTTTTTTTCTTAATGGAGTACATGAATTTTAATTTTTTCAGATTGAGTATATCAATTTTTTCAAAACGAGTCAATCAAAAGTTTGTTTTAACAAAAAAGGGTAAAATTATAATTTCTATTTGAATACGTCATCAATTAACGAAGAAAGTGATGAAAAATACTTGATTGTTAGTTTTGAAAAAAATTAATATACTCAAACAAAAAAAATAAATTAAAATTCATATATTTGATTAAGAAAAAAAGTAAAATGATAATTTAGTGCTTTGAGGATACCAAATACGTCATCAGTTAACAAAAAAAATTAATAAAAGTATTTAATTGATAATTTTAAAAAAGTTAATGTATTAAAAAAATAAAATTTGTATACTCAATTAAAAAAAATTAAAAATTGATATACTTATCGAGTAATTATCCCATTTAATTATGTTGTAGGAACATTCTCTGTTCCAAAAGTCCAGATAAAAAATGTTGAGAACTTTTGTGCAAATATGGTGACTGATTCCAATCAATTGTGGTGAAGTTAGGTTAGAAATTTGATAATGTGTGGTGTGAGAATTGATTCTAATTATAAGAAGACATGATGTTTGATGTATAATGTATACCACATTCGTTTATTTTATTTATTTATTAATAATTTCAAGAAAACACAAGGGAGAAACCTGTTCCCAATCTATACATTTATTTTCAATCAGTACCAAACCTATAACTTTTATCAATTTGATCCTAAATATTTTACACAATTATTAATCAGGTCCTTTTGTCAATACTCATTAACTTTTCTGTCAAACTCCTTCCGCTCCTTACTACAGAACCTTCAGCTACCAACAACACTTCCTGCGAAGATCCATCTATTGTGTGATTGCAGCAAATTAGATGACCAACTTAAATTTTGTAAAACCTATTAAATCACTAAGAAAACACTAAAATCGCAGCTTGATCTTGGCTACTGTCTCCCATAACCACTATGATGAAGTCAAACGGCGAAAGTCGGGAACGGGTTCGGATTTAGAGCGAAAAAAGAAGTTAAATGCAATAAATAAATAAATAAAATCGATCAATGGACTAAATTACCATTTACAACTTTCTATTTTTCTAAGACAATAAAACAAAACGAGAGAAGAGTGAAATCTTACACCAACAACAGGTAAGACGGAGGATGCAGGAGACACGGCCACTTTGGACGTTTTGAGCTTTAAGGAGGTCACGAATGATATTGGAAGACAAGTGTTTGGATTTAGCGTTTTGAGGGAGAGTGTCACGGATTCTGGTGTTCGCTAAGAAAATCTTTGTTTTAAATGCACTCCCGTGGACACTCAACAACAGGAAACTCTCTTTTCATTGTTAGCTTATTTTCTTACTCCGCGAGTTTCTACCAGACTTGTTGTCTAAATACTTTCTCAGTTCTTAAAAGTCCGAACTCCAGCCATCAGGCCGTTGGCCTGGTGGTTACCCCTCAAGTGAGGCCTTCTAGTCTGAGGTAGGAACCCTAGCATTCAGGCAGGATCACATCCCTAAAGTAATCCCCCTTTCCCTGTTAACAAATTAACATCAATAACTGGCTCTCACACATAATAATAATTATTATTATTATTAAAAAAAAAAAAACCCTCCAAGCAACAACAGTTACTACTGCAAAATACAATTGGCCAGCTTCTGCGAAAAGAAAATTCGTAGAGACATTAACCCCGTGGATGATACGCAAGTAAGATTGAGTTATATTGCCCCAGATGTTTCATTATTTGAAACAGGGATAGAAGTTGGCCAAGCTGCTTATCGGAATTTTCAAGTAAAGATGGAATCTTGTAATTTCTTTCCCTGCAAACTTTTCATAGAAAAAAAATCTACGCGCACAACATTACAGAAGACAAGAATGCAACAAAAATGAATGCTGAACGCAGAAACGAACATGAAATGACTCGCAATATTTAATTATGTTCTAGGAATTTTCTGTCGGTTCCAAAAGTCCAGTTTAACTTTTTCCTCCCCTTCAAGATTCAAAAATTCAATTTGCAGGAAAAGCATGAATCCAAAAAGGTGACATTACCCGAAAGGTTAGCCCTTAGGAGAAGGAAAAATTTACCTTAGGTTACGGGCCAGATTATTCCAAACTTCATCCAACAACACAATCCTTTCAGCCTGTAAATGCATTAGTCACCATTAAAAAAAAAAAAAGTTCAGTTTGAAAACGCCAACTTAGCCACTGAAATTCCACAAGATTGCATGTGTTATTCCCCTCTCAACACTTACCCTTCAGCATGAAAGATCCTTTTAACCTTGAGCTTGGATCCACTAGTGACATTTTTTATTATGATAAAACAAACAAAAGATAGCACTGACCTCCATGAGGATAAAAGTCACACAGAGTTCCATTATTCCCTTTCAGCATCATGTTCATAATTCAGTTTGAAATATTCATTATTTCATTCATGTTTGAATTTAAACGCACACAAACTATGAAAGTAACATAAACATAAACTATCAGCTGCCGACAACAGGATATCAGAATATAGCAATGAGCCAATGAGCATCTCATTCTTCCTGAACAAATGAAAAAACTTCGTCGAAGTTTACAGGCAAAGTATTCAAATAGTTAAAAACAAGATCATATGTAAAACGCAGAAATTTCATAACTTGGCAGCAGGCATGTGATAGAAGGTAGCACGAGAAGTATAGACCAACTTTCTGGTTTTCTTGATTCTGAACTCGGATGCAACTACAGTCAAATTCCTTCCACTCCTCACTACAGACGCTTCAACCATCAACACCTCCTGCCAAGATAAATTGTTTTAATTGTATGATTGTACTAACTTGGATAAGAATCCTCAAGCACGTAAAACCAATCTAATTATCACAGGGAAAAAAATTACTCTACAGAAGTAAAGCGCAAATGAAGCAGATTGAATGGTGGCAATTTTCATGGCATCAATTTTTTGTGCATAAACTTGCATAATCAACAAATTTACAATCTGGAAAACTAGTACAGCTATGATTGACAAACCCAAACACTAGCCTTGAGCAAAAGGCACCAAAAGAGAAACTCACATTTAGTTTTGCTGCAGAGAGATAAGAGATGCTCAATTCACCAAGAAACAGTTTTTTATCATCAGCCACTACAGTTCTAGCACAAGCAACGGACACTCTCTCTGCTATAGCTCCAACAGCCCCTCCATGTAGGCTACCGAAGTAATTCTAAAACAGTTAAAAAAAAAGCCCAATTAAATAAAATAAAATTATTTTCAATCCCATTTGTCGAGAAACTAAAAAAAGGAAAGAGCGAAAATCTTACACCAATAACAGGTAAGACAGGGACGATGCAGGAGACGAGGCGACGTTGGACATTGTCGGCTTTGAGGAGATCGCGAAAGATATCAGAATAGAAATCTTTGGAAAAAGAGTTTTGAGGGAGAGAAGCATGGATTCCAACGTCTGCTAGAAAACCTTTGACTGCTAAGACATACTTCGAAGGTAATTCTTTGGAGATGGTTGTTGTTGAGGAAGAAGGGGTCTCCGACACTCTCTCTCTCTCTCTCTCTCTCTCTCTCTCTCTCTCTCTGTTCTTTCACTCCCACCTAACCGTCCTGGTAGTGATGCTCCTAGTTTTGGATTCATGGACCAAACCTTAGGACCGGCCTAAATCACAAACTGAGCCCAGAGGCCAGATCCACTTCAAGAATATTATTGGATACGTGTACATGAAATAGGAAAAACGAAAACAGAGAGAGAGGGAAAAAAATAAATAAATAAACAGAAACTCGTTGAAGATATATTTAATGAAAAATTTTAAAAAATAAGATTTGAATTATTACCATAAAAAATTTGAGCATGACATAAAAGCACTTGGAGAAATCAAGTATGATGTGCGTCTGTGGACTCGATTTCATTTTTTCCAGATATGTGGAGATCACTATGGTCATGTTTAATAGCTTATACTGTTTTTTTTTTTTTTTTTTTTTTTTCGGTTGATATATCTAACAACAAAATGAGCAATTAAGATTTGTTAATGTCATTTGATTGAAAGGTCAAGGTGATGAGGAGCTGCATTTTAGGATCAAGTATAACGATCTATCCAAGCAAATGAAGTTTGTTAGTTTGACCCTTTGGTCTTGCAAAGGAGACGGATGTTCTTGCACAAGAATTGAGGTATATTGCAATGGCTTCTAATTAAATGTTAAAGAATTAGATGTTTTAATTTTCATGGCCACAACTTCAAATTAAGATATGAATACATTCCTTAAACTTTGTTTTAAAATGACACAACATGATTCGATACTTCATGTGTATTTGGGTTAGCAATGAAAATTGCTTTTGTATATAAATTTTAATTTGCAATTGCATTCCTATGAAAAAGACACAAAACGCCTTTAACATCTCTGGGCACGAATAACAACTAGGTTCATTTTGGAGGATATTCATTACTCCTTTAACTCCACTCTGCAAAGCCTAACAAAACAAATATCTAAATTTTCTACCAAATACTCCCTTAACAATAAATCGGCTCAATCAACATAAACCTAAAAGTATTTTACTCATATTGATATTGAGATCTCGTACAATTTTAATTTTTTAATTGAGATCCTAAATTTTTTTCTATCCAATTTTAAAATTTTATTCTTACGTTATTGTTATTTTAGACTCTAATGTGTCAAATAAGAACACGTGACAAGCTTGAACCAATGAAAACTTGTCACGTAAGAATTTTCATTTTCGTTAAAACTCAATTTGGGCTCATCATGACACATGGTGGCAAGTTGTCATTAGTTAAAGCTTGTCATATGTGCTTACGTGACACATTAGGATTTGAAACAATAACAACATAAGAATAGAATTCTTAAATTGGATGAGAAAAAAATTTAAGATCTCAATAAAAAAATCCAAATTATACTAAATCTCGATATACATAAAACCCAAAACTAAAAATAATAAAAAAAAAAATTGAGTCTGTCTAATTTCAAAATTATTGAAAACACACATTCAACTATGACAGATTGAAAAAAAAAAAAAGTTTTTATGACTTGGCATCCCACCAGCTTAGAAGTTGCTAGCGTAATCAAAAACACAAAAAAGAGTATTGCTAAAATTGCATTAAGAAATCATGTAAACTGCATTAAAAAAAAAATCATGTATTGTATTAGATAATAAGGGAAGAGATTTCCCATTATGATGGACTGTGGAGTGAAAAGGAATGTATAAAACTTCAATTAGTAGATTCCTTCCCAGCAAGGAATAAAAAAGAATTAAAAAAAAAAACAGGTAGCCAAAGATGGTGGACTTTTCCTAAATTGTTTTTCATTTTTGTAGGTTGTCAATTTATCATTGACACCCTTCTACCACAAAAGCCATTTGCCGCTAATAATAAAAGTTGTCAATGAGTTCATTGACACTAATTCATTGCAAAGTAAGATGAGCTACGGCGTATCATTTCCCTCTTTTGAAAAACTAAAGAATAGAGCTATGCCAATGTGCATCCACTGAAGATCATAATCAATCTGCAAATGAGAGCAAATAAGAGGATTAGCAACAAGAGCAGGAAAAAAGGATGTACCAAAAGAAAAGTGAAAAGATTGGGAAATGGGACTCACCTAATTCACATCAATGAGCTAAAACTTCTCTTAATTATGCAGAGAAGCAATTCCACAAGGAAAACCTTCTAACCACACTTCAGAGCCTATGAAACAACGTTGTCACAATCTCACGAGAAAAATTACCAGGTGATGTAAATATAGATATGGGCCTGGCTTAATCCTACCATCTATTAACCTTCTACGTTAAAAGCATATTCCAAGCGTTTTTCTATAGACTTCATGTCTTCTGAAGTTTCAAGCTTCTGAGATTTTGGAGGAGAAAGAAAAAGCTGCTTCTTGTTTAATAGATCCACACCATCATCTTTGTCAGACGAACAAGAACCTAGTGACCGGAAGCCATTATCAGCTTCTAGTGCCAAAATACGATCACTATAAGTTGCATCGCCAGCTTGTCTCAAAGTTTTTGAACTTCTTTTCCTTATAATTGATGGTGTGCCTTTGAAACTCCTTGCTTTGCTTCTCAATCTGGATTCTGGACTGCTACAATTACAAGACATTCTATTATGACTTATTGGCGTGGAGAAGGAACATGGACTTCCTGCTGTACGGATGTAGCAGTCTGTACTAGGAAAACTACCGGCTTCCAGGTAAATATTCAAATCCTTTAGCTGGAGTGACTCATAGCACAAACCATGATGCAATTTATCCATAGTTTTCGGTCCTCCCGCCCCTATATTTTTCTCATGTTCATCTGTCATTATAAGAAAATAATGATGATTAGATCAACTAAATGATTTTGATTTTGTGATCGTAAAACACCTCATACTACATACATTACCCTGTCGCTGAGGCACATTCAGCTCGACCTACTTTTTGAGGTAATGTTTCATATTAACTTTTAGTTTACCTGCTCGAAAATGAGAGAGGGAGAAGAAACTTTACCCATTGTTTCGTCATAACTGCGTGCACTGGATGGAGTACTCAAAGAGAGATCCAAAGACGGAGAAAGTGCTTCAGAAGGCAATCGATTGATAGTATTTGTAGTCTCACGAGTTCTTTCCGGTGAATATGGAGATCTCACAAGACTACCAAAAGAAATATCACAGAATTTGCGAGGCTGATTAATGCAGGAGTGGTCGGTGGACTCAGATGTATATGCACTACTAGCACTTTCTCTGCAATCTTCGCTGGACAGACCACATATATCAGTAGCTTTAGTACCTGTAGTTCTACCAGTGAACTTGGCTGAATCATTCCACTCTTTACAATTTTTATTATCAGACACCGTCAATTGGCCCTCCCTTCCACCAGCATTTCCAAGAACCAAATCCAGTGAACAAGGTTCCACATTTGACCAAATGTTCATACTCCGATCATATCTTTGCTTGCCCACCTCTAGTTTCCTGTTATCTGTTTTTGTCTTGTAACTATAAAGGTCCAAACCACGAGATTGATATGATTCTAATCTCTTCCTCACTGAGCAATTCCAATGATTTTTTATTGAATTTTCGGTCCTGGTAGTTTCCAATAAATACAAACACAAAGTAAGTTTCCGTATGCATAAACAGAAAGTCATCTGTTTTTGACTATTAGCACCAATTTTTCTTCTATAAACCTCTAGAGATCGTACCTTCCATGCAGAAGCTTTGCGATCTCAGCCCACTTATTACCATATGCTCCATGGGCCTTGATGAGAATTGCCTCCTCCTCTTTGGTCCATGGAGTTCTATTAATATCTGGATTTAAATGGTTGTGCCACCTGAAAAAAATAAACAATAATTAGTTTCAGTAATGACTTGGTTCTTAAACAATAATATCATAAGGTAAAGAAGCAGCATTTGCACAATTCAAAATTCATTTAAGCAGAGCGCAATGTGCTCAAGTACCTTTCTCGGCATTGCTTGCCTATGCGGCCTGGCAAGTGTTTTGCTATTTGAGACCATTTCTTGTTCCCATGTTTTTCAACAAGCTCTCTAATGAGATCATCTTCCTGGTGATCCAATAAAGTAACTATGAGTCTTAGTCACAAATTATATAAAAACAAAACAACCTTCTTTGTTAATATGAAAGACCACAACATTAACGACCAAGCTGCAATCCCAAACTAGTTGGGTCAGCTATACGAGGGAAAAAAAAATCACCTCTTTTTTCCAGGGTCCTTTAACAAGTTTAGGGTCAAGAACCTTCTGCCATCGATGCAGGCATTGAACATCTGTTCTATCAGGAACACACTCAGCTGCAAAAGGAGACAACTTCATCAGAATCGTACACTAGCAATGTCAGCCAGAAAATGGAACTGAAATGAGCTCGGATTCAGCTGGAAGAGAGATTGAAGACCAACACTGGCAATCTCAACCAGAAAACGGAAAATTTCGAGCTAATGACAGCTAGCCACCTTCATTGGCTCTCACAAAGAAAAAAGGCATTAATTCAAGCTTAAAGAAAAGGCAGGCCAGTTCACCATTAATCAGATACAAAAGATAGAACTATTACAAGAACGTAAAACTGAGTATAAGATAGTGATGGAGCATACCGATCTTCTTCCAATTTTTGCTATTGTACCTCTTGACTGCATCAGCTAAAATTTTATCCTATTAAGCAAGAAAACAAGGGTAAAGTCATTCTTCCATATGATAATTGAATTTTGGGCAACTGAAATATCTTACTAACCAACACAAGCACAAGTAATCCTAGGTCACTATAAAAAAATCCCTTCCTTCTTTTTTCATTTTGAGTACAATTTTATCCCAAAACAACAAAATGCAATTACATGCACAAATCGACGAGCATAATTGCCCATTGTAAACAAGAAACATCACATCCAAAACTCCAAAACTCAATGCCTAAAATTGAGATATCTATTCTAGTAACTACTATGCAACAAAAAAAAAAAAATATATATATATATATATATATATATATATATATTGAAATTGAACGCAAAAACCTGTAATTACTAACCTCCATCTCTGTCCAGCCTCCTTTTGTTGATCGTCTAGTAGGACCAGTCATCCTTCTAAAACACAAGAAAAACCAACATCATTCGAATATATATATTATATTTCGTTACTATTTTTATCTTGACTGTTACAATAACAACTGAAATTCATAAAATTTGATTTCTTTCATATGCTATAGGAATTAAATTCAAACTACAAAAAGATCAAAGAGATAATATTTACAATACGGAATATAAATAAATAATAGATAATTGAAGATTAACTAACCCTTGCTGATTTTGAATTGCAACATTGCGAATGCCACCATTGGATACTAAACCAGTCCAAGAAACTAAACCCCTTGTCTTTGAATTAGAATTGATCTCCTTGACTTCTTCAACCATGGTCTCTCTCACTCTCTAAATTAACAAAACAAAGATAAAAGGAAGGAAAAAAAAATTTAATCTTTAACAATGCGTTGATAAAAAAAAAAAAAAAACCTCTCTGAATTAAACACTTAAAACCCCTAAAAAAAATTAAGGGTTATCTTTCAAAGATTGATCAACTTCAACACTACTACTACATAACGGTAACCCAGTGCAAAAAAAGAAAAAAAAACATCATAGTCCTAAATAAATAAAACAGATTTATTAGAAAGCCAATTAAACGGAGATATTTAAAACCTCAGAGGGTTTTAAGGAAACTAAAAAGAATAGACAGAAGTTTTCTTGCTTGTAAAAAAGAAAAACGTCTCCTTGTTTTTTTAAAAACGCGTAACGGCTAACAAAAAAAAATATAAGCAAAAAAAGAAATTTTTTGATAAGAGTGAGAGAAAAATTAGACTAATTAATAGGCCAGACTATCAAGTTGTTCCAGAGAGATAAAAGAGAAAGAAGGGATGAATCATTGATGTGAAAGATAAGAAGGTTAAATTTTGGTAAGAGAGGGAGAAAATTTCGCGGGAAAAGGGAAGAGTAGTACTGCCAGTAGTGTTAAGTACTACGAAAGAAAAAAAAAAGAAGAGAGAGGAGAGAGGAGAGATAACAAACGGTTCGTTTGCTTCAAACTTCAAAACGTTAGTTCTCCATGTTTCTTAGGACCCTTCAATCCAGGGACAGGTATCATTGAAGAATCTAGACTCCAATCGTCCTGCAATCTATCTGCTCGGCTTAATTATCAACTTATTCTTAATCTAGACTCTAAACATTTTTTTTCTCAATTGGGTCTCTAAAGTATCCATTTATTCTTCAATTGGATCCTTAATCTAAAACGTTCCACTTTTTTCTGACAAAAAGCCTCAAGTTATCCTGAAAAAGGGGTCATTTTATTGCATGAAATATGGAAAATGGAACAAAAAAAAAAAAACTAACGAACATATACAATGGGAATGAATCGAAGAATGCTTAATAGTTTAGAGACCTAGTTGAGAATTGGTGTGTAATTGGATGACTAATTAGATCGGGCCGAAGTCCAAAGAAAACTAGAAAGTGAAGTAAGACCGACCCCCGGTACTATCAGCTAATAATGAAGGAGATATAATCTTTCAGGAGGATCACTAAAACATGGTAACCGAACCAATAATAACATTATGTCTTAAATTGGATAGCTAATCAGCACATCTATCAACATTGGGTGATTTGTCGGGCCATTCCGGGTCGGGTCAGGACCATCCCACATTCTCACCCGTTACTGTTTCGTTTGATGGAGTAGTAGTTATGAGAATTTATTAGGTCAAAACCCGATTCGGAAAGATAGTTAAAAAATATTGGACTGGCCATGATGTGATGTAACATCTAGACATAACCACAGATGTCAAAAGGAGTCCGTCTCAAATTCTGCCTTTATTTATTTTCCATCTTTATCTTATCTGCTTAAGTTCAGACTGGGCGGAGTAATTTGTGCTCTTATAAATCTTCTATGATTAGAGGGCATTCATTTGCACTTGAATTTGCTATAGCCGTTACAAACCTGAACATTGGAGTGTAGATGACTAAGGAGAACACATGGTGAGGTAGTTTTCTCTCCTCTTTGGGAATTTCTCAGATGAGAGTAGTGGTCTTCAGGCCTAGTTCCTTTACTTTGGGTTAAAAACCTTATTTACCGTTGCCTTCTAAAAGCCTGGTTAGTACAGCTATTGAATTGTTGGAGCTAGCATTAACTGGGGAGGAGAGAAGGAAATCAGTCTTAACAATCACCAACCATGAAATGAATTCACGTAGACGAGGCCCAACCCAATGGATTGTGAGATGTGGAATTAGGACGGATAAAAGAGCAAACTACAAAAAATAAAAATTAACATGCACTGTTCTTTTTATCATTCATGTTTTGTGTTTTTCTCTCTCTTTTTTTGTTTTTTTTTTGGGATTAATTTACTTTTATTTTCTTCTTTAGTTGCCACGATAGGGTTCACATAACAGTGTCCTATGTATAGTTAATAGAAACATCAACATAAAATTAATAGAATTACTCAAATAGAAAAAATTACAAATAAAGTCACTCAAATAGTAAAAATTAAAAAAAAAATACATTGTCAAATAGAAATAACAAGTTTGCATACTTAAAATGTAATTAAATCTTTTGAAATCCAAAAATACTAAAATTTCACCAAATATAAAATAATTTTTTGGTAAATCCATTATATAATTTTTTATTTATTTAAGATTTTAATCTTGCCTGACGCAAAAATTGATCCAAGGATTGGTAACGGAGGGTGACAAAAATAGTTGGGGGCCAAGTTAGAAATAATAAGACTTCAAAGAGAAAAAAAATTTCGTGAGGACCAAATTAGAAAATTATAAGGGTTTCTGGGAAATATAACTAATGTTGTGGGACTATAATGAACTTTTGAAAATTTTGAGGGGCCCATGGATGGCCTACAAGCCATTTCTGCCAAAAATACCCTTATTACGAAACCTGTATAGAATGTTATTGAAGCCAAGAATAACGAGAGAGGTGCATTTTTGCTAATTTGCTTCGCACATAATTTATTGTTATATAGATCCAGTGTTCCTATATTTACAGGTAGAGATATAGATGGTTAATTATTCTCTTTTTTATAATGGTTAATTCTTCTTCTTCTATTTTTGGCACCTATATCTATATATATATATAGAGAGAGAGAGAGATGTTGTTTCCGAATAAGAATTTGTAATTTTCTGCCCAGGATAACCGGAGGGCACCCCGAATGTCACTGCTGTATACGTGTATTGGATTAATTCCTAAGTAAAGACAGGTCAGAGGTCACCCTCCAAATAAATAAAACAAGAGCAAACAGGTCAACTCTAAATCTAATTCGCTGGAAAAAGGTTGGCATCTATAAAACAGAAGTTGGCGCATGTCTATTTAATTGCTAAATCCTCGGAGAATCAGAAAAACAATCGCCTGATTCTTCATTTTCTCTCTGTTAGTGTCACCTTCTGGTCCTCCAAGAAAGGAAAGTTAACAAAATGCCTGAAGGAACTCTTCAAGTTCTTCTTGTCGGAGCCAAAGGTCTCGAGAACACCGATTTCCTCAGTATGCTTTCTCTCTGTCTCTCTTCCTAATTTCCTTTTAAAATATGTTTTGATAGATAGATACATCTCAAACCGACCGTGCTTTATCAACGAATTTTAGGGTCATATATAGATCCAGTCTTACATAAACCATACGATTTCTCTTTCGGTATTTTTTTTTGAAGTTTATGTACGATCTTGCTATGATCAATCCAAATTCTGGGGTTCATTGCAATGATGCCAAAACATATTCGATGTGATTTTTTTTAATTATAAGGTGTTTTTTCTTTTTGGTGATCGGATACTCTTCGACTAATTGTGATTAGAGACAAGTCCCAAATTCTCAACGTCTAGTTAGTGGTAGCTGAATTTGAAAATTTACATGCATTATTAGATCATTTAGTTTTGTTGAATTATCTTGGTTAATTAATATATTGATTTAACTATTCATGAGCAGCCAATATTGATCCTTATGTGCTTCTCACTTGCCGAACTCAGGAGCAAAGAAGCAGTGTTGCATCAGGTTCATTTCTAGACCCTTTTCCGAATATGGTTTTAGACACCACATATTTAAGATTAATTTAGGATGCCATAGATTTAATCATGGCTTGTTTCTGAGATCAAATCGGTAGGATATTTTGGTAATCACTGCACATGTTGGTCAACTTGCATCTGTTTAAATCCTTCAGGCAACCATAACATGACTATATATTCAAGTGCAGGACAAGGATCTGAACCAGAATGGAATGAAACCTTTGTTTTTACCATTTCTGAGGGTACTTCAGAACTCGTTCTAAAGATAATGGATCGTGATACTCTCACGGTTGATGATTATCTTGGAAAAGCAAGGTGAGTAACATTCATTTTTCATCTAATTTTCACGTAAATTTACCTGGAATATCGATATACCAAATTGTTTGTTTGGATTTGATCAGTGGGGACTATAAAATGCCATTAGTTTCCGGTGAATATGCATAATTCTGTCTTGGGGATGGGAGCATTTAAGGGCTAAGATTATCTGCATTATATTCCTGGTTGCAGCATTTCTTTACAGCCACTATTCATGGAAGGAAACCTGCCAACAACTGCATACAGCGTTGTCAAGGACGAGGAATACCGTGGACAGATCAGTGTTGGCCTTAGTTTTACTCCCGAGGTATTCCTTCAGTTCTTTGGTTCTCCTATATGTATTTACTGATCAGCTGGATAATATTGGTTCATGTCATGGCCCTTTTTGAGGCCTAGCTGGCTCCTGTGACCAAGAGTTCTATGATTTATCTCACTGCCATTAATTAGCAGCAAAATGGTCAATTGCCAGAGAGATGATAGATTTCAAGCAAAAACACGGACTGATGTTTTAGTATATGAAGACAAAATCAGAATTCTTATAAGCATTTTCTGATATGGTTGCTGTTTTTCGGTTTCATTACCATGACAATTAAATATTTTATGCTGATTTTGCCCTAATCATGATATATCGATCCTGCAGCGTCGCACTAGTAGGGGATTTGATGTTGAGGAGGAGAGCTATGGAGGCTGGAAAGAATCAGCTTACAGAGATTGATTTCATGCTTTCGATGCAAGTTTATCGTTGCTGATGCTAGATATTAAAGTGAAGTAAAAATAAACATCTTGGCTTGTTTGCTATCCAAGATTAACCCAGTGGTCAAAGAATGTTTTGAGAGAGGAATTTTATACACTGCTGGGAATCTGATCATTGTATGGCTAAAAATAATCGATGGATACACAAGTAAATTTCCCAAAATTTCCCAATATTTGGTTACAGGATACAAGGAGAAGTGTGAGAGTGCTTGTAAATTAGAGTATAGCTGTTGACAACCTTAGGCTAAAGTGATGGTGCTCATGTTACTGTCAGGTCCATATCGCAATGTGTGTAGATAACAAACGAGGACAGAGCAAAACAAACACACCAAAACATTAATTACCTGAGAAAGCTCCCAGGTAAAGGGCAGTCTAGCCACCGACAAACAGAATTTTGAACAGGGTCCATGGTGAAGTTTCAATTCTTACGCAAACTGAAATAGGAATAGGTTTCCAAACTTCTGAATCACAAGTACAAATACATTTCTGAAGAGACTATTCCCCCTAGAGGCTGAAGTTCCTTCCTTCTTTTTTATCATCTCTTTTCACAACTTCTTGTTGCCCTAAGAACCCTTTTAGCTATGCTGAAGACAGGCTATTGCAGATAGGCTGTCTCAGTGCAGTCAGGTGCATGCTTCTCTTCAAGCTCAGCCTGAGAAGCCCAAAAGATTCAGATGCTGAAATGAAACCTTTTTCACTTGAGCCCCCCTTGCAGAATCCGATCTGCGACTCGAATGCTTTTGTTGTAAGCAGCGGGTTAAGAAATTTGTTAACAAGAAGGAAAAAAAGAAGTCAAAATAATTGACCAAGTTAATGTTATTTTGCTACCCAAAAAAAAATAAAAGAAATTCTTTTTTTCGTCAATTTTTATATATATATTTTTTTTCGCTTTGTTATTTTTTTTAAAACAAAATAAGTCAGCTTTAAGGTAGTAATAATGATTTTCACAAAATGATAATCCACTATTAAATAAATATTGACTTATAGGTTAATTTTAAGATTCGATCCTTGCAGGTAACACTCTTAAAAATTATGTTTTTAAAAAATTTAGATAATTTTGTTTATATATCTAATTTTTTTTATTGAATAATTAATGATACATAATATATCCATCTAAAAAAAGAATTATAAAATATTTTTTTGAATTTAATGTTAATTTAAAAAATTTTTGAGAACAAAGCTCACTCACGAAAAGGAATATTCATCAACGGCGTCGTTTGTGTCAAGATGACTTTCTTGTTCCAGCTTACCCGACCAAGACTTGCAACTTAAAACCCTAGTACTATTTTCGTTGTCGTCTGTCTTCTCCTCTCCTCGCCTGCTAGAAAGCTGCTTAAAGAAGAAAGTAGAAAATGGTGCAGCGACTTACTTACCGCAAACGGCACAGTTATGCCACCAAATCAAACCAGCACCGAGTTGTGAAAACCCCTGGTAAGTCGTAACTGCTCTCTTCCATCATAACTTACATTTTTAGATAGATATACATATTGGGTTAATGAGTGTTAATTTTGTTTTTGGATTGAAGGTGGAAAATTGGTGTACCAGACCACCAAGAAGAGGGCAAGTGGGCCCAAATGTCCTGTCACCGGAAAAAGAATCCAAGGGGTAATATTGTTTTCTTCGATCTATTCTTTTTTTCTTTTATTCATGTTTTACTGATGTTTTGGTTAGTTTGAGGGTTTAGGAAGGATTTAAGTGATTAGTTTTTGGTACTGGAAATGGGTTTCTAGGTTTTCTATATAGGACTATTATTCACGGGAATTGTTGTTTTTGATTATTCACAGTCAATAAATCACATTTGTTGCTTTTTATTATTTAATCATAATCTAATCTTGATAGTGTGAAGTTTTTTCTTGGATCTGAAGCTGCTGTCATCAGTTTCGTTTAAGAACATGATTTGCTGGCTTAGAATAGAACCAGCTTATTTTCCTTGTGTTAAAATCTGTGAGCTAGCACATTCTTCTTAAATTAAAAATTGATGATGAATAGCTAGATATGTGGGTGGTTTCTATTTTTTTATTTGTCCAAAGAAAAAAAAATGCGAATGGTATCACTACTGACTCTAGGACTTATGAAGAAAGATTTTGGATGAAATGAACATAAGTAGCCTAGACGAATGACATTGTTTTGTTAGAAGTTGGAAATTTAAAACACCTTTAATCATGTTTGAAATGCTTTTAAATCTTTAGATATACGCATGTGAAGGCCCATATCGGGGGAACTAATGCATTCATCACTCCCTGTACATAAGTGGATGAAAATTGTTTCTCAAAGAGCTTAGGAGTTAACAAGGAAGGACATGTTTTTTCCCATCCTGATTGGTTCTCTTAACCTATGGGGTTGATAGTTCCTAATCATATTCTGCAAATGCCAAAGTGCAAATTCCGTCAGTATTCTGAAGCCACTGCACAGTGCACAACTCCCTCTAAGTTTTCAGTCAAAGCCAACTGAGCTTATATATGCTCAGTTTGATAGTCCAAAACTACTTTGTCTAGTACTGTCCAAAAAAAATAACGGAACTTTGTTCAGTTGTCTAACATGTATCATTCATAACCTTAATTATTAGTGGTATACATTTTCTGGTTACTTATTTGATACCAGTATTTTTTTTTTTTTTTTGTGATTGGTGCTGAGTGTTAAAATTTAAAGGCAAAATCAATCTATTATGCCTCAAATATTTTTCAGTAGCTACCTCATACCAAACAATAAAACCATTAATACTGGCTGTAGCACTTTAAACTCTTCTTTTCTTCACAAAGTTTGAACTGAAGGTGCTGGTTCTGATAGAATTTTTACTTCTTCACAGATTCCACACTTGAGACCTGCTGAATACAAGAGGTCTAGATTGTCCAGGAACCGCAGGACTGTGAATCGTGCCTATGGTGGCGTCTTGTCCGGAGGTGCTGTTAGGGAGAGGTACAGTATCTTGATGGTGGTTGTTTTTTGTTTTGTTCTATGTGGCAAAACTGGTAATTTCTTTTGCTATGTTCATTATGTAGGATTATTCGAGCCTTCTTGGTGGAGGAGCAAAAGATTGTGAAGAAGGTCTTGAAGATTCAAAAGTCGAAGGAAAGACAATCCTCAAAGAGCTAAAAGGGAGGTTGATAAAGAGAAGTCTTCCAGGTCACAAGATTGCTTGAGCAGAAGTTGAGTGATCAATGCCAATGAAAAATCAAATTGCCTTTGGATATTTTGATTTCAGCTTGTTAGATATGATTTTGGGTACCTTGTTTTATGACAAATACCAATGAATACCTTTGCCTTTTACTCTCTAGTGTTATCCACGGAATTGTGCTTGCGTCCCAGGTTGGAACTTAAAAGTTTTTTCAAAATCATCTTATCCTTTACACAAGTCTGGAATTCTTATTGCTCTCAGATATTCATGGTTTTTATTTTGTTTTTTTAAGAACTTGCTGCCATATCCGCTTGTGCAGCGGTTCTCATGCAGTTTGTATCACATAAATGGCTTCTTTTTCTTGCAAGGATTATGCCTTTCCAGCTTCCATGGTTTTGTTCTTTCCGTTTGCTGGCGGGGAAAGAATTTGAAAAGGAATTTTCTGCTTAGAATGGTGGTTATCAAATTCAACCAATCAATACTGTGCAAAAGGGCAGCAGGGAGTGAACTGTGACATACTTAAGCAGGCAATGAGGCAAATATCTAGAAAAGAATATTGGCTCCCTCGCATGGATTGGGCTGCTAGCTACCCAGATGGTAACGGACTGATGGGGACGTAATTAAGAATGGATCGAAACAGGCGATCCAATGGTTTTTGTACTCTGTTTGATGTTTCCAGAAGCCTTTCTGTTACAATCTTCCTGATTGTGTACATCGAATGGTGAAATGTATAAATCAACTGAAATTGGAGTCATAACAAATTCCCTCTTCAGGCTTATTAGTGTTGTCGAACTGACCAGAAATCATAACTAAAACGAGTACAAATATCAGAAACATTCTGGCCCAATAATCTCTTCCCACCTCTTCAAGCCCCTTAAATTATATGAACATCTGTACCAGTTGCAACCATAGGTAGAACATACTTGAAAGCTGAAAGTTCTCAACATTCCAGAAGCACAAAAGGCGCCTGAAAGGGCTGCTTTTGGTCCTGCAGAACAAAACATGTTACAACCCACCAAAAAATTATGAGATGGCTTTATTCGTTTCTCAACATCAAACTAAGAGCCAGGTGTGTCTAGGGGTGAGCACTGTTTGATTAAAACCGAACCGAATTGAATCGAATTAGCAATTTCGATTCGGTTTTATAAAAAAAATTATATATAAAAAAAAAAAACTGAAATTATTTTGGTTTTTTTAAAAAAAATAAATTCGATTTCCACTGAAAACCGAATTAATGTTTTTCTTTTTTTAACACTTACAACCAAGACTCATAGCATTTTCCTATGATTTTTTTTGTTAAAACTTGCAAAATAACTTTATCATTTCTTTTATAACACTTTTTTAACTTTTAGAAATAAATGCCAATGCTATGAGAACAAAGTACAGTATAGATGTGTGCAACAAAATTGAATTCCGCAGCTTAAATGTCCCAGCTACCAGCTACTTGATTTCAAAATGAATGCAATTAGAATTTAGGACCAGCACTGCCATTTCCTTTTGACCTATTGCTTGCCCCCTCAACCCATCACTTATTAACCAAACTGTTGTTTAATTTTACTTTATTAAATTAGACAAAGGAAATGCATGCATGTATATCAATGAACTTTATCATTCATTAATCCCCGTGATTTATCATATCATTTTCTTATCCAACTTATTTACAACGAATGAAAATAATTAGTCATATTATCAGGAGCATCAAACTAGGAAAACTTTGGTGACTATTCAAAGTTAGAATAAGTTCTTTTGGTTTTTAAAGATTATTAAAAAAAAAAAAAAAAGTTCTTCTGGCTACTCATTAAAGAGTTGTTCAATTTCATGTTTCCTTAAGCACTTTTTGAAATTTAAAGTTATTTTCCAACAAGAAAAGGCTTTAAAAACTTTGACATCCTTGGATGTTTGGATGCTAAATTTAAAGTTGCTGTTCAATTTTTTTTAAAAAAAATCTAAGAAAAATTGCAAAAAAATGACCTTTCAACTTGATCTAAGAAAAAATTCAAAATTTAGAAGAAAAGATGAAAAAAAAACCATTTTTTTTTATCGAAAATCGAACCGAAAACTCGGTTTTTTAACGGAAAAACCGAACTTCAATTCAGTTCAATTTTGATTTTTGTTTTAATCAATTCGGTTAATCAAAAACCGAAATTGAACTGAAAAAATCAAATGATCGCCCCTTTATTGTTAATCTATGCATGCAAATGGACAAATCCCAAAATACCTGATAAAACAGCAAAACTGGATTTAATATCGGCTAATATTTAAAACAATTAAATAATATGTGGTTAAATTTTTAGTGTGCTTTTGAGATATAAAATGACTAATAAGTATAACATACTAAAAATATTTTAAAAATATAATTTATTTATATTAAGTGATTTATGAGTTATTAAACTCATATAACATGCGTGTATATTTTTTATAAGTGATCTTTAACTTTATTTTTATAAATAAATAAATAATATATACACACATCATATCAATCAAATCAATGATATGAAAAAAAATTAAAACAGAATTAGGTATATAAAACACTGGCATAAGTGTAATTAAAAAAATTAATGGAAAAACTTGTTATTATAACTAAAAAAATCCCATAATAAGTAATTAGTGCTTTTGACTAAAATTTTGGATATCATATTTTATAACCAAGCACTATTTTTACTGTTTTTAGAACAAAACTAGTAGTTATTTATTTATGCAATCACATGTCGCCTGACCCTTTTTCTTTTTAAAATTAAAGAGCAAGTTGGTTGGCAATGCTTAAGTAGTAAGATTCTCTTGCTCTGCTGTGCTACTGTGAGTATAGTTTTGAACCGAGAGAGAAAGCAAAGAGGAAAGAGATAACTGACAGTGTGCTGATTTGGTGAAGCTAACTTTTAGAGTTTGAGATCAGGACTCAATTTAAAGGTACCTCCTCTTTTATTTATTGCAAATTACTTGTTCCTGACTTTTCTTTACGCATTCCTTGACTGTTTGCCAAACCATAATCATAGCTTGTACAGAAGTAGATCTCTACATCGTTCCTTGTTTAATCACAGTTTCACTCTGCACAACAAAGTGCTTGCAACCTTTGTTGTGCAGCATACAGTTCATTTCCCATCTTTCTACCATCTTAAACCAACCAACAAAATTTTATTGTTTCAATAAAAAACTGGTGTTTTGCAACCAGCATACGCTTGAGCTAGAGCCTGGAGGAGAGATTGGCATGCGTTGAGCTAGAGGAATTCCCACAACCTTGTACAGCATGAAATAATTGTTCCAAGAAGGCTATGCTTGTTTGGGAGAAAACAAGTTTCAGAAATTTGTTTTCTCAATTTTTTAGTGTTCATTTTGTATTTAAGAAAAAATCAACGAAAACTGATTTTCAATCAACAAAAATAATATAGTATTTTTTGAAAAATGCTTTTCTAGTTTCAAAAGAGGAAAACATTTTCCTTTTCATGAGCTGTCTCACTCTTGCATTATTTACATCTCTCTCAATATATTTTAACAAGTTTTTTCTATATTTTTTTATTTAAAATATATCAGATTAATTTTTAATTGTTCCTTGTCAATTATGTAATTATTTTTTCTCTATTTTTACTAATATTTGATTTTTTTGATTTATAGATACATTAAATATTCTTAAAAACCATTTTTATACCTTAAAATTATTTTTATAATAAATATTTCAATAATTTATCTCTATTTTTTATTATTATCTCAAACACCAGTTAAGCTATACTTAAATGATTGGAAATGATTATTACAAGACTATATTTTTTTTATAAAAAAAATTGAAATTAATTAATTAACCAATAAATACATTATTTTCCCAAGACTATTTATTTGCAATTAAATCAATAATTTATAATTTTAATCGATTGTAAAATTTTGTTGGTAATTGTAGTGAATAATTTACAAATTATTCCAGCATTAATATTTTGAGATCAAATGAATAATTATCTATAAATGATAACTGATAAATTATAAAATTATTTTTCAGACTAAATTATTATTTTGATTTTTTTATAAAACAATTCTTAATTGAGTTACTAAAATAACAATGCTAGGATTACTTAAAATCTTTTTTTTTTTTACTAAATGTGAATATTGACTTGATTTTGTCCCAAGTAATTTTGATGAATTGGTTTGATGGTTAAAAAAGTACATTTGGTTTTTTGAATTAAAATTTTAGAGTTAGTATTTATAAAAATTTATTAAATTTTTTTAAATATATCTTATATTTTAAAATTATGAATATATCTTTTTGAAATTTTCTCAAAACTTGTTGATATAACAATCACATGTGTTTTTATATTTTAATTTTTTGTATCAAACAAATGCTGGAATATATTTTTCAACAATTTTTTCATATAATTGCCAAATGATAGAAAATATGTTTTTGGAAAATAATTTTCTGAAAAATAGCTTCCTCATCAATTGATTTTTCTATGAAACTTGTTTTACCCCTAAACAAACGCAGTCTAAACTATTTGCTTTTTCAGATAGCTTTGGGCCTTGGGGTACTGGAATCGGGCCACATTACCATCCCTACTAGTGGGCCGATCGAGTGGCTGTCCAATATTGTTTGGACTTCTTTTTTCTCTTTTGGGCGGCATGACGTTTCTTCGTATATTGGGCTTTAAGCTTATTTTATGAGCTTGAACTCTTCTTGCACGGCAGATTCATTTGGGACTTCTTGTAGGAACAGCCACTCATTTGTCGCCTTTTCAAACACCAAACCCTAGTTTTCTGCTCAACTTCAACAATCTCATCATAACCGTAACTTCAAACAGGTGATGATTGGCTCCCTACACTACCGTTTTTTTTTCAGTCTCGCGATTACATCTATGCATGTGTCCCTTTATTTTCCTTTTGGCACAATGTTTTGTTTTCGTTTGTTTGGATTTTGTCTACTTGTTCCTATGTTAAATCCAGCTTTAGCTTAGTTGTTACTGACATTTGGCATCCTCAATGGGGTATAAGATTAATGAAGCTTAAACCAAATTATTTAAAGTTAATCTCCATTCTAATCTCATCTCTTCTTCTTTGTCCTTCTTGACTATGCTTTGCTTTTCTGAGAAATAATGGTGGTGGCATTAATAGGGGAATAATTACTCTCTGCTTTCATTCAGGTTTTGTTCGACAAGATGACTTCCCGTGAGGTTTTGGACTTCTTCAAAGGCCGAAAGATCGATGATGGGATGTTGAAGAAGTTGAATGTCACTTTGATTTCTGTTAATGGAGTGCTCAATTATGCAGAGGAGAAGCAGATTGATAAGATGGCTGCGAAAGAATGGCTTAATGAGCTTAAAGATGCTGTCTATGAAGCTGAGTACTTGCTGGATGAGATTGCTTATGAAGCTCTGCGAATGGAAATGGAAATGGAAGCTGGCAGGTTTAGATCTAGCAAATTTCAGTTGTCAAACTTACTTTCTTCTCTTAATCCTCTTACAAAAAGGAGGAAAGAGATAGAGAAAAAGTTAGAAGTGATCCTTTCTAGACTAGAATATTTAGTAAAGCAGAAGGATTCCCTTGGTTTGAGGGAGAGTGCTGGAGAAAAACAATCAGCACAGAAAATACCAACAACTTCTCTGGTTGATGAATCAGGGGTTTACAGTAGGGATGGTGATAAGGAAGCCATATTAAAGTTGTTGCTAACAGTTGATGCAAATGGCAGCAACCCTGATTCCCATCATTGGAATGGGTGGAGTTGGGAAAACTATTGTTGCTCAGCTTGGTTTGATATCAAAGCATGGGTGTGTGTTTCAGAAGAATTTGATGTTTCCAAGCTGACAAAAGATAGCTCTTCAAATGCAAAGAGAACTACAGTGGTCCAAGGTGATGAGCTCAACTCAAACCTTATATTCTTGTCGTGACATTTTTTTCAGAATTCGAGTCTTTATTTAAAGTAATAAACCTAGGATCATTTAATTTGTTTTCACCTACTGAGTCCATAATAACATGCTTGATATTCATAATATAAATGCCTGATTGTAATGTGATAGTTTACCTAACCTTTTTGCTTATATATATATATATATATGTATAAGCTCAGTGATTTTTGTGTGGAGAGCGGAAACCATTTTTCAATATCCTAGAGTTAAATTATTTCCCAATAAGGATGGTGAAACACATGCCCAACTATTTAAAAAGAATCACAAGCAGTTGATGATAGAAGAGGAAAAATGGATGATTCTTTTACAGTTGGTGATAGAAGGGGAAAAGTGATTTTCTAGGCTGTAACTTAAAAACACCTGTAACTTTAATTAATATATTATTAATGAAGTCCTTTTTCATGAAAGGTATACATGTTCAATCACCCCTCACCGGTAATGGTGTTCATGCATGTATTCTTAATCAAAGCCAGCATGAGTCAAAGAACATCATCGAACAAGGTGTGGATATGTTTTATCTCCTCCAAACCCATTATATTGGCATTCCCCTCCTTTAAAAATCCTTCTCCAAAACAAGGGTAAACCCATTCTCCTCCTGCCCCCTTCTTCTCTCCACGCATTGTTTGTGTTCTATAAATTATTATCAAACTATATTTCAGAGTCTCAACTAATAAATTAAGCTTTCTATCTAAGTAGTTTTAGGCAAATTGCATAGAATTTGTATAAATTTTCTCAAATTCTTAGGTAATGTTTCCAAATAACAAGATTATGATTTTCTTGTATCATGCATTTACATAAAATTAATTCTGATATTGTTTTCTTATTTTTAGGAATCAAGCAAATATATGATTTGAAGATGACCTATGCATGTTCTTCTATACTTTTACATTGTATTTGTGGACAAAGTATATGTTATAAGATTGATGTGCTCTGAGCATTCAAGAAAGCAATTGAGCTTGGTATGTGTATACATTTGGCAATACAATTTTGCTTTTTGCTTTTTGCTTTTTGCTAGAATGCTTTTGAGTCTTAGGCGCAACTCTTCGGATGCGAAGAGAACTACAGTGGTACAAGGTGATGACCTCATCTCAAACCTTATATTCTTATTGTCATATTTTTTTTCTTCTTCAAAATCTGGGTCTTTATTTAAATTAATATAAATGCTTGATTTGGGATGTGATAGTTTACCCAAACTTTTTGCTTATATATATCTCGTTTATAAGCTTAGTGATTTTTGTGCATAGAGTGGAAACCATTTAAATTTCCCAACAAGAATGGTGAAACATCTGCCCAACTATTTACAAAGAGTCACAAGAAGTTGGTGATAGAAGGGGAGAAACGGATGAAGGACACTGCTTCTTGTACAGTGGTGGGTGCCTTAATCATCACAATTATGTTTATTGCAGCATGTACCCTTCCAAAAGGTAATATTCAAGATATCGGCATTCTGGTATTCTTACATGAGAAGGCTTTCAAAACTTTTATAATATCGGATACAATTTCTCTGTTTTCTTCATCAACTTCAACATTGATGTTCTTGGGAATCCTCACATCTTGTTATGGAGAAGAAGATTTTCTGATATCTTTTCCCTGGAAGTTGATAATAGACCTTTACACACTTTTCATTTCTATTGCAGCTATGATGGTTGCCTTCTCTACAGCTCTTATGTTAGATGGAATGATGGGAGTGTATCGTCCCTGTTGACTCGATTGCTTGTGTTCTAATCACCCTGTTTATGTTATTACAATTTCCCCACCTGGTGGAGATATCTATGTCCACATATCGACCCAGCATCTTCAAGACCTAAACAGAAAAAAGAAGGGTTTAGTACTAGATTTGTACATCAAAATAGTCCCTGAACTTCTCTTTGCTTTTGTTCAATCTGATGAAGACTGTCACTGGGGTGTTGTCAATTATTATTACTGTTGTTTCTTGATCTGCCTCAAGTTGTTGGTCTTGCTGTTTGCTTTGCAAGTATGGCTTTATCTTTAACATGGACAAAGCTTTGTAGTCTTGTGAATATTTTGCTCTGTAACAGCTTGAGAATGGAAATCATTGACCTATTTGTAGGATGAAGTGCATCAATGAATTCGAAGCAGCCCATTTATTCAATTATTTATTAAATTAAATAAATAATTTTATACTCTTAATCATGCCAAGTGTTTCTATCCATAATAAAACTGCTTGGAAAACTTTGTTCAAAATTTCATTCGGTAACCCATTTGTACCAAAAGGTAATATTCCAACAAGATGCTCAGTCTCTTTTTTTGATACAGATATCCACACGAAAGCATAAACTTAATGTTAATCTATATATATTCCATCACTCTGAAGCCAGTGAACGTGTATAAAGGTATAAAGGTCGCCACATTCTACCCACCTTAACTTTACTAATGGATTAATTTTGAATATTAATAGTGCATGCGGCCTGATCATTTTCCTTTTAAATTAAAGAGCAAGTTGCTTGGCAATTCAGTAGTGAGATTCTCTTGCTCTGGTGTGCTACTGTGAGATTAGTTTTGATGTGAGAGAAAGCAAAAGGAAAGAGATAAGTGATAGTTTGCTCAATTGGTGAAGCTGGTTCTAGAGTTTGAGTTCAGGACTCAAATTAAAGGTACGTAGCTACCTCTTCTTTTATTTATTTTAGCTGCTCCACTGCCACTGCAATTTCTTTTTTCTGTCTTTTTTATGCTACACTGCAATTGGATCCAATTGGCTGTTGATCAATTTAGACTGTATAATTACTTGACTGTATCTATAGGTCATTTCCAAACTCTATCGATTCTGACATCTTGTTATGCAACTGCATATTATTATTATTTATTTACTTTTGCAAAGCTGCTTGATTGAAGAATAAAAATAAAAATAATGTGTACAGTTAGTCTAAGAATTAATGCATATTGGAAAAGAGATCAGATCCAATATATGTCAACTGGCTTTCAACAGGCTCTTTTTTTCTTAACTGGGTGTTTGCAACTGCTTTCCTAAGTACTTAAAAAGCAACAAATTGAAAATGTTAAAATCATCAGAAAATACCCCAAAATAAATTCACCAAAATGAACTTTAAAAAGATAGCCAGCATTACAAAACACATCCTAAATCACTATTATTGTCGACGTATGCAACAAAATTTCTTTGCATATCTGGATTCTATTCGAAAGATTTAAGTTTTTAAGATGAGTGATCCATTCTCAAATTTATGCTTTATTTTTTTCTTGATAATCCAGTGAACTAGATCTGCTAACGGAGAAGAAATACTGACCTTCAGAGCTTTCCTAATTGCCAGAACCTCCACTTTTATTAAATTCCTTAGCACCAGTAGGCATTGAAAAAATACAAACAAATCTCCCTTCATGATCTCTTAGGACTCTCACGATGCCTGATATCCCCGGTTTATCCAACAAAGATCCATCAGTATTCCATTTAAAACTACCTGCTGCTGGCTTGCACCATTTCTGATTGGATTGGACCATTTTTAAATTCCATCCGAGCATCTCTGCAAGCCACAACCCGAGTAAGGAAAGCGTTCATCAAAATAGTTTGCCCAATAAACTACCCTGAAGAATACTAGCCAGTAAACTTTTTTTTATATTTAAGTGTTATTTATGTATTTATTCAGCATATATTCACTGATATTGCAAAAGTTGCATCCATCTAGTTACTAATGGCTACATTTTCTATGCATGCTGTAATTCTCTTTCATACCAATTCCCCTGTCTTATTAATCTTTGGAATTTTCTATTGATAGATTACAAATGTCTATGGCAAGTGCAATTGTTCCTGAAACGCTGAGACATGGTAACTATGACAGTTGGAGTGCCTGGATGAAAAACTAGCATTTGGCTCAAGATCTCTGGGATTTGATTGAATCGCCAAGTGGAACGGAACCTCCTAATCAAGAAGTTGCGCCTAAAGCGGAATATAAGGCTTGGAGGAAGAAAAATGCCACTGCTTTACATGCAATTCAAATTTGCCGCAGACCTTATATGAATTTTAAGTCTGAGCTGAGCACCGATTCAGCCAAAATTGCTTGGGATAATTTGGCCAAGTCTTTTAGAAAGCCATTGCCAGTTCCAAAAGGCAATGCTGGAAAGTTTCAAATTCGTGACACAGACTCCGAGTTTGACGACTTTGACCATACAAACTCCGACCTTGACACAGACAATGGCACTGGTAATTTTCCAACAAACTCCTCTTGATTATTCTTGAATCTTGATTATTCCTCTGACACTGACATTCAAATCTAAGCATGGAGTGACTAAGGTTATTAATTACACTTGCTTAACAGCAACAATATGCTGAACTCTGGCAGGAAAGGCTAAGGATGGCAATACTCGATTTGCTGGCCTAGCTGACTCTGTATATAGAGGTGGCTGGCATTCAACAATGAACTTTCTTGACAGACATGTTGGTGTAATAAATGCAAAGATTAATTCCTTAGCTGGAAAGATCTCTTTCTAAACGTATTTTGTTTTGTGTCAAAACAGTCCCTCTATTTCTGTATGTTTTAGTGTTTTTCACTCGGATAAGCTCTGCTTAGCTGGGATGCTGTTGACGATTGCCACTGCTGTTTCTTTATCTGCCGTAATTTTTATTTTGTTGCTGTTTTTTTTTTTTTTAAGCTAAAGGGGTAATATTAGAAAATTTTAATCTGTAAGAGTACAAGTGAAACATCCATAAATATTTTGGCACAAAATAAAAGTCATCCTTTTCTTTTTTTATTAGTTAGTCTAATTGAGGATTAAGGAGTATTAGAGAACATATCCACCATAAAATTTAAATCTTTTGAATGAAATCCTATCTAACTTCATATAATATCAAAACTTCAAAGAGATCTAATGATTTAATAAAGATCCTGTGGTCTAAATTCACACATTATAGGCATAGCAAGTCAAGTTATAGAGATTGCATTTGTAGTATACATAGACAATAATACTCCAGTATTCCATATTATTTAATATTAGGCCATTTGCTGTATTCGAAAAATCAAAATAAAAAAAAAAAAGAAGAGAAAAGAAAAGAAAATTGTTGTGTGTCTCTGTGTGCGTGCGGGTGTGTGTGTGTGCAGGGGGCGGCGGAGACCGGCCTGACTTAGGTCTCTGTCTCACTCAATTCTCACCGGATAGTAACACTTTGTCACGTTGATGATAAAGGGATGCATTAGAAATTCCAATCATTAGCTGAAAAACTTGACAATAATCATGTCAGTTTCGTAACTTAACGGTGACTGTATACCTTGTCGTAGCATATGCTAGATGCTTACTTGCGTTACTCTACAAGTTAGATAAAACTAATAAAATTAATTTAAAAAATTATTATAGTTTGATGGCATATGATATATCGTGAATATATTAAAATATATTAAATTAAAAAAAATAAAATCATCTAATTTTATATTTTTAATTAAATTTTTATATTTTTTGGAATATCTTTTATATTATTCGATGTTAAAAAATTTGATTTATTCATCGTTATTAATTAATTCTTAAATAAAAACTTATGATAATATAAATTAAAAATTAAAAAGAAAAACATTCATAAGATTGCATTGAATAAAAAAACAACAATCAATATAAAAATTAACAAATGAATTTTTGTCTAAGGACGTATGTGCAGTCCGCCTTCATTAAATTAAATGTATGTCATTTTTTCTCAAAAGTGAAGAAGGAGCACCTTTTTGTTCGGGTCATTTGTCCATATTAGTATTCTGGGCTTTACCCGGTTGTGATGCATCTGTTCAGGTGGCTGGTCGGGATAGTCTTATTCATGATGAAGTCTTGTCCAGGCAGTCTTTGAGTACGTAGAGCAGAGGGACACGTGTCATGATTGCATCATTCTCATCTGGGAAAAGGAGATGGAAAGGAAGTTCACTATTGTGAATGTAATCTCTGTTGGTCATATGCTTCACTGGTTGATAATGGACGACTATATCATAACATTCGATTCTGAAAAAGTTCTCTCTGTACTATTAAATTGCCAGTCCCTGTGAAGGAAAAAGGTTTGAGCTTGGGAATTCTGATGGGTATCTCCATTGTGTCTATGTGAATTGTACGGAGGTTCAAGTGTGGATGTTTAAAGGTTATTGCAAGCCTGAGTGGATGCTGAAGCATAATTAAGTTAGATTTGGTTGAGTTTTGCAGAGGACATGCTGAGCCTTTTGCAAAAACAAAGGTGCCAACCAGAGAGTGGTTCAAGTACTAATTTGTGACCTCTAGCTTTCCATGAAGAAGCTGTGTGCGTGCTTGTGGTGGGGAAGTTATGTTCATACAGTTTCAAGACTAGGAAGTTGAGGTCTCACTGCACAGTCGACATTTATGATCCTGACTATCCAATTATTCTGTATTCTGATTGCTTGACTAGCTAGGAAGCCCCAAAAGAAAGAAAATGAAACTGACAAAGTGTATGGATTATTATTTGGGTGGTAATCCTGATCAGCACAAATATTTCCCTGCTTTGTCAGCATTGTTCTTAACTTCCCTAGTATTAAAGTTTCCAAAGCCTTTTTGTTTCCGTTTCTGTTCCTATGTTATGGGAAAATTCCTCTTATATACAACCTATCCAGAATTTGATTCTCACAGCTTGTAGATGACAAATTATTTCCTGGTTTTCTAAACCAGGCCATTCTTCTACGTGCTTATTGATCATTCATGCATTTGATATTCTATTTAACCATGCGTTTTGTCTTTATTATTTTTCTCTTGATTCCACATTAATCAACTCATTCAATTGGCTTAGTTGACCTGTCTTTGGAATCCATCGATGCCTGCGATTGCTTCAGTAATGTTTAAACTAGATGCTTCAAGGGTGTGAGTTATGGTTTTTCTGTAATGTTTAATAACACCAATACATTATTTTTTATGCCTTAGAACATCTGCACCTAGAACTTTAGAAAATCCTTTTGATTGGCGTGCTTTGGTGGTGTGCAAACCCAATAAGCACAAACTCATGCTAGTTGAAACAGTTGGTAAAAGGCAACCGAGAGACAACAACTAGATAAAGAGTTGCATCTGCTCTTTTTGAAAACTCACAAACAGCAGCTGGAAAAGATCAACAATAGTTGAGAAATATATTTTTCTAAACCTCCCGTTTTTCTCTCCTTTATCTGTATATACTGAGTGCTATCCAAATCCAATTCTGCAACGGGAAGCTTATAATGCATGCAATAGTTTAATTCTCTAGTCGAATTGAGATTTGGTGCTGTAGCTTTTTTTTTTTTTTTTTTTTTACTAGTTGCTTCAGACTTTCAAATTATTGTTGGAGACCTCGCATCCACTTGATTGAATGAGATGATTTGGTTGGTTCTATAAATTTGTAAGCGATTTTTGTTTTGGTCTGTTCCATAATTAAAATTATGAGTTGTGTAAGCTCAGATCGATTAAATAGGAAGTGCTGTGAATTCTAAGGTTGAACTATGTGTCCATCTTCTCTCAACGACTGGAAAGGAATTAAGAAATTCCACTTGTGCGCTTGTTAGCAAGCATGTGTGCATGTTCATGGCTGTAACTGTTTTATTATGCTGCTTTGAGGTTGTGTTTTAGGGCTGCTCTTTTCTGTAGGGGTTAGAGGTTTTCTTTTGGGCAAAAAAAATTTGATTTGCTCGTTAATGTTGGTAATTGTTCATGTTGATGGGTGCTGAGTACTTTGGGGGGTGGAAGTGGAACAAAGAAAGTTGTGTTTATTCAGATTATTTGGATTGTCTTGATTTGTCTAAAACATTTATACTTTTTTGTTTCAATGTTTGCAGACGATCATAGCCAGAACTAGTCTAGAGAAGCTGAGAAAAAAGCACTGCAATAATTTTAGGCGTCTTTGTCAGAATAGTACATGAGCAATTTGTGTTGCACCCAGTTTACCATGGAAACAGTTCCAAGGTTCTGTAATCTGTGTAATCTATGCTATCTAATTGATTTTTCTTTATTGATCATGTGCAAGTAGACATTGCTTACTGTAAGTTCTATATCCATTACTTGCATTATTCTAGTAATTGACCTTCCCCAAGAAGAGATCAGAGGGGCTAATTTGAATATTTAGATTGGTAGTTTCTGGGACTGATAGAGTTTCAGGACTTCTTTTTCGATATTGAGATATACCTTTAGTCTGTTATGCGGTAGGTTATACCAACGAAGGGATTCAGATGTCAAACACGCTACAAAAATTTGGACAAGGAAGAGAAAAAAAAAGATAGATCGCAATCCATACAGATAAGCACCACTATTTGTGCAAGTAGCACATCCTTCCCAAGCTTACTAAATTTGGTTAGTTTAAGTTCACCTAAAATGGCCTGGGCTCACAGATAGAGCAAGATTCATCGACTGAAAGATCATCCTTACTTGCTCCATTGGCTGTCCCATGCAGATTATGTAAGTCCATTTGAACTGCTGAATCTTCAATCACCAAAATGTGACCATCTCACCTAAAAGATTAAGCCCTAGAATATAATTTATACTAATCTCTAACACACAACCAAACTTTGATACCTTATTAAAGGACCATCTCACCTAAAAGCTTAAGCTCATAGGTGAGGCCCTAGAATATAATTTATACTAGTCTCTAACATCTTTAATTTTAGACTCGTAAGGATGAACTGCATTCTTTTACTGATTTAAACTGGCGCTTTGCAAGCAGTCTCAGATTTTGTTTCTTATTGCCATCTGCAATAGAAGATTAACTTAAATTAAGCATTCTGAAATAGAAGATTAACTTGAACTAAGCACCGTTCTAGAGAAACCAATTTCATGGAGAATTGGTGGTTTGACTTAATATTCCTCTTTCCCTAATCTTTCTGTGGATCCGTAGACATATTGAGGTTGGAACTGTAATTCTAGTCATGTGAACTTCAACTAGCGTAGACTTTTCGTCCTCCTTAGGCAGCAGCTTGGCTCCATCTCCCCTTTTCTGATCTCTCAGCGAAGTCAAGGTAGAAATTCCAGTGTCATTCAGGTCAGTTTCTCTCAGCTTCACAACCTGTACAGGAGTTTTCGTTTTGCCATTTGTCTTCAGAGGTGATTTCAAGGAAACTACATTGTCAGCTGCAGCAACCTTTGATTCTGACAAAGTTCGTTTTGTACAGCTTTTGGGCCAAACAATTAAAGAATTCTGGGTTTCACTCCTCCCTTACTTACCGCCCCATGGGAACACTGGATATGGCCCAGTGGTTGATAGCTTAGTTCTTGAAAACCGGTCTAGTTCTGGGTTTGCTCGGGGGATTTTTCTCCCATTGACATATCCTAGAAGGGGCATTTTGCCTCTTGATTCTGACACAGTTCGTTTTGTGCAGCTTTTGCGACAAATAATCTCATCTTCCTATATTTACTTCTGCTCTAAATCAGACTTACTGCATTTTGCCCTTTTAGAAGCACCTAATCCACTATCAGAATTGTCTTTCCCATTGAGGCCAGGTCCAGCTGCATGTCTCATAGCTTTTGCACTAATATTTCTGACAATAGAACCTGTTCTTGGATGATCTCCTCTGCTTTCAAGATTTTAAGATGAGTTCAAACTTCAAAGTCTTTCTTTAGCCTATAGCTCTGGACTGGAGTTCAATGGCTTCCTCATTTCCAGTTACTTCCAAAACAGACATGACCAAAAATTTTCTCTCGCTGTATTAGATTTTAAGTTAAAAGGTGAGAATGTAATGTCCAAAAATATTACACCTTAGAATCTAGGGAAGTAAACAAGCCCAGGGAGGTTGTGGCTATTAATTACCCAAATTAATTAATGTCACAGACCGTTAACATTCCTTACGAACACAAGCACAAGTGCACAGCACTCGTTTGCTGCTTCCTGCTCCCCTTGCTTCTTCCTCACCGAGGAGCTTTGCTGAGACCCTAATTTGCATATATATCACCACCGGGTATCTTTACGATTAATCCATACGTTAATCTTTTAGGGTTCAGATTTTAAGGATTAAGTTGGATTTTTTTATCTAATTTCATACAGCATTTAGTATGCATATAATGGAAGATGTTTTCCGAAACAACGATTTTGCTCCAATCCTCGGGAACTTGGAAATGGTGGTTTCTTCTTATTATTTTCATTTTTCAATTTTTTTTTACTAAAAACATTTTTTGAATAAATGAAATGTAATTGAAAAAAATCCACAAAAAAACACACTAGAATTTCATGTCATTGCTTAACCAACAACTTAACATATACCACCATCGTGGTACTTAATTGATTCAATTTCAAAATTGAATACTTATTTGAAAATTTTTAAAGTCATTATATACTTAATTGACAAAAAAGAAAACTTTTATGTACTGCTAGTGCGACTTTCCCGTTCATTTGTTGGGTCCTTGTCTGAGAACTGAGATGTGGTGAATTCCTAATTTCCTTTTCTTTGCTCTTCCTCCTGACTCCCAGGAGCTTCGCCGAGAGCTTGACAGAACCCTAGTTTGCCAATCATCATCTTCAGGTATCTTTACGATTAATTTACCTGTTACTTTCTTTGGTTTCTTAGGGTTTATGAGATTTCAGAGTTAGAGCTGGATATATATTGGTCTGGCACCATTGTTCCGACAGACGAAATAGAGAAAGAAGATTCCAGACTTTTTCCAAAACAGTGATATTGCAACTTAAATCCTATCTCGATTATCCACAAAAGATCTTGTGTCTGCTAAATGAGTCTCTAAAACATGGAATTCTTTCATTTCTGATCCTGCCTTTCTGCATGTTCACTCCCAACGTTGGACATGTCTCTCGGGTCTCTTTCTCACAATACGGGAGGAGAAAAAGGAGACTGGTTTTTGGGATTTGTTTCGTTCAACCAGCAGCAGTGTCTACATTGGTTTACATGACAGTACACCTCAAATGGAGGAAATCCTTTTCGGGTTTTTGCCTGAGCTTGCTGTCCTTGTGGCTTCTTCCAATGGGATTCTTTGTTTTCGCAGCTTGGTTCCTTCCTTGTTCTGGCCAAAAGGAATTCCAGGTCAAAAATTACCTAAGTGCCTGCAGGCTGTGTATATGTATGCAATCCGGCTACCAAGGAATGGGTTGCACTTGAGCCAACTAGAGTAAGTGATTCAGGTGATTATTTCGGATTAGCTTTCTATCCCATTGGGTTTCTGGGGAGCAACGATAAACCATACTTTAAGTTGGTTGGTATTCGGGATTCAAATCTGCCCTCCGAGTTCGTATTCTTTTCTCGTGTACTCATAAGAGACAAGGAGATGGAAAACTTCTAAAGAAGTTTGCTGTTGCAATTATGAAGTAGATCAAAAGAAAATGATCTCTATTGGTTGTAGGTTTTATTGGTTAACTTTGAACCACTATATCATAACTTTTGATGTGGAAAAATAGCTCCCTGCAGTCATTAAATTAACAGGTCCTGTGTACATGGGAAATTCTGAAGGCTATCCTACATTGAGTCACTGTGAATCATATCGAGGTTCAAGTGTGGATCTTGAAAGATTATTGCAAGCCTGGGTGGGTGCTCAAGCATAAGCTAGAACTGGTTGAGTTTTTCCAAGGATGCACTGAGCATTTTGGTTACCATCTGTTGCCTGAATTGGAAAAAAGAAAGAACCCAACCTTTGTTTGAGACTGTTTCAAGTACTAAATTGGAACCTTTGGCTTTCCATGAAGAGGTCCTGTGTATGCTTGCCGCACTAGGAAAGCTATATTCATACAGTTTCAAGACTAGGAGGTTGAGGTCTCATTGCACAGCTTATGCAGTGGACAATTACTTTCCAGTTGTTCCACATTCTGATAGCTTCTCTTCTATAGATGTTACCAAAGGAGCCCATAGATGTGCAGCTAAGTCAAACAGAATTCAAAGTAATGCTTCACTGCAAAAAAGACCAATAAGGAAGAAAATGAAACCCACAAGGTTTATGGATTATTGTTAATTTTGTGTATAAGCCTGATCAACACGATGGCTGGCTGCTTTGTCAGCTTTGTTCTTAACTTTCAAATGTTTAAATTGCCGAAATTTCATTTAAGTTTTTTGTTTCCATTTCTGTTCTATGCCATGGGTGAAAGTCCTCTTATGTGAATCCAGAATTTGATCCACAAAACTTGTAGATAAGTAAAATCATTTCCTGTTTCTGAAAACCAGTCCCTTCTTCCATGTGCGTATTGATCATTCAAGCATCCAGGCATTTGCTATTCTATTTGACCATGTGTTTTTTCTGTCTCTTTGATTTGTTCTCTTGGTTTCAAATTAATCAACTTCTTCAATTGGCTTACCTAGTATCTAATCTCCTGTTTTTGAAATCCATCTATTTCCGTGGCTATATAATGTGGAAAGTAGATTCAAAGGTCTGAGTTATGGTTTTAAACGTCAATACATAATATATTTGTTGTGTGTTTGGATTTCTTATTGGAGAGGCGTGCTTTGGCTATGTTATGTGTCTCCAATAAGGCCAAATTGTTTGTTGAATGTTGAAACAATTGCTAAAAAATAGAGGGGCAACTGAGAGACAAGTAGATAAAGAGTTGTATTCTCTCTTACAGAAAAATCACAAACAACAACTGGAAAGATCAAAATTAGTAAGAGTTATATCTATCTTAACCTTCCACTTCTCACTCCTTTATCTGTATATATTTAGTGCCCTCCAATTTCAATTCTGCAACTGGAAGCTTACAATACATCTGATTGATTATTTTTCTCTTTTTATTTTAATTTAGAATTGATGCAACTGATTGATATTTCAAATTGTTGTTGTTCGAGATTCTCACGGACTTGATAGAATGAGATGGTTAGGTTGGTCCTTTAGATTTTTTATTAGTTTTGGTTGAGATTTTGTTTGGTCTGTTTCATAATTGAAATTATGGATTGTGTAAGCTCAAATTGATTAATAGGAAGTGGTGAATTCTAAGAATGAACTGTGTTTTGATCTTATCGAAGACGAGACGTCTCGAATATATGTGTCTGTGCATGTAAGCCTGCCTGCATGCATATATTTATTGCTATGACTGTGTAGTGATGCTGCTTTGAGGTTATGTTTTAGGCTGCCTTTTTTCTTTTTTGGGTAGGAAACGTGGGTTTTGCTTTTGTGCTAACAAGTTTGATTTGCTTATATTGGTTAGTTATGCTGATGTATGCTGAGTATTTTGGGAATATGAACAAGGAAAGTTGCGTGTATTCAGATTATTTGTACTCATCTTGATTTTACGAAAACATTTATGCATGCTTTTTTTGTCCTTTTTATTTTTAACATTTGTAGAAAAGTCACAGCCATAATCAGTTTGGAGAAGCTGAGAAAAAAGTTGAAAAATAATTTTATGTGTCTTTGTGAAGAATGGAATGCTAAATGAGCAATTTGTGCTTTCTCACTTTACGGTAGAAACAATGTCAAAGGTTCTGTAATCTACACTTTCCTACTTTTCTTCGTTGTATTCCTTATGAGAAATATTTGTATACCCACCTTCTCACCCTAATAAACAGTTTCAAAACCTAACCTTTTTTGCCATGATGGCTGTTGTTGGATCCATGCCTGTTTCTCTCAGGCTTCACACACTAGGTCTTGTATTTTCTTCAATCTGTTATTGTGCTGTCTTGTGCATGTAGATTCAGCTATCTTGCATGCAGCTCCAATCATGTCCCTCTTAGGAAGTTTTATTGAAACAGTGAAGAAAATGGTTTCTATTTAGAGAGATCTCGAGGTGTAATTATGAATAGAAAGAGAAATTTGCTCCCAGTGACCTCTAAGTATATACTTTTATAATTACGGTAAAGGCGTTATGAATAATGTGCTAATCTTTAAAGGCGTTATGAATAATGTGCTAATCTTACATAATAATCTTACAGAATTAATTTACCGAAAAATATCAACCCTTGAATTTATAATATTCACTAATGAAATCCACTTATTTAATGTATGAGATAGTCATCCAAAGATCGATATTTTTTTGGTAAGTGAATTCTGTTATAAGATTACCGTTACTCGGGGTGTTATGGGGCTGGGATCTGGACATTTCTAAGTGGACTTGCTTCTTGTATATAATTCCATATTCATTGCTTGCATGATTCTATTCTCTTATTGACATTCCTCAAGAAGGCAGCAGAATCGGGATTACCATTTCTGGAACTGCTTGAGTTTTAAATTCTTACAACATGACATCTGCTGTCTCTGCCACTTGTGCATTCAGAATGACATTTCTAGATCTTAAAATATAGTAGTTATTTCCTGCACGAGATGAACCTGAGATTGAGTAATTGTTTACATCTTTGCATTGGAGATACTTAAGTTTGTTTCGTGTTGAAAATGCGGTGTGAAATACATGTCTAGTATATTTTTTCAATTTAATATTGAAGTTTGGGTACTAATTCTACGCAATTCGAGTGTACATGTTGAACAAAGTATACAAGAAGAAAAGAAAAAAGATATCTGCATTAGCCTAGTAGCGTATGTGTCCGTCTCATGTCAAATTTACATTCTGTTGCATTATGTTGTCACTTTTGTTCTTTTAATTGTTCCTTTTTCTACAATCTCATTTTCGACTTGCTGGATGGCGCACTTGTACAAGTTTCTTTTAATGCTGGATCTGGTCTTAAAAGTCTAGAATACTACCCTTCATTTGTACAAATTTCTTTGGTAATTGTCTGACTCTTTGGTTTTCAGTTCACATGGCTTTTTGTTTCTTATATGTTGGCTGGCAGGCCTAACATTATTGAGGTCTGTGAGACATGTACCAATCTTCTTGAGGTGCTTGCCATTGGAACGTTCGTGCAAGATGAATTTGATGTTTGGTGGACCATTTTGCTGTCAAGTATTATAAATTGTAAAAAAAGATTAATCAGCTGCTTCTCTGTTATTGTGCAGTGTATTGGCAGTTCTTTCAGTGAAATTACTGGTGCAGGTATCATTTTGCAATACCATGGCAGTTTGCTTCCATTGATGAGAGTAAAACTAATTGATTATCATTGGCATGCCTAAGTATGCTAGAAAGTTTCATATGAGCATTTGAAAAGGTAAATCACTGCTGCTTTATAATTATGTCCAGCTTTTAAAGTTTTGTAAGTATTATGTAGTGCTTTTCATTAACTAAGCTATCAACATTATGTAGTTTTGATTAACTAAGTTATCTAATATAATCTATTCATCTGCATTTAAACAAAAAAAGAATGCTTGCAAGACTAATTTTCCTTCCATTTGAATCAATATGAGAGTTTACAGGTTTGGCATGATGCACGATTGTTGTTTTCTTCAGAAATTCAGGTGGTGGTGAAGATAGGCTTCTGAGAGCAAGAAATCAGCTGTCACAAGCTTTCAGATTTGGAAAAATGTAAACAAGCCGTTATAGGGCAAGTTCACGTGTGCCATTATGTAACCAGATGGAAAGTGGTACAGATTCAGACAACATGTCTCCCGCCAGAACCTCAGCATCCCGGTTGAGCTTCTGTAAATAATCTGACAAAGACAGGTATTCTCAACATAAAAAGGATTAAATCAATGCATGGATGAGTTATGCCAACATTCTCTTTAACATGATGTAGGTCAAAAAGTAATGAAATTTATTGACTAGATACAGAATACTATATAAATGCTTTTCCTTTTTGACTAGATACAGAAGACTATATAAATGCTTTTCCTTTTAAGGGTGATAATTCAAGAAGCCAACACAATTTATATCTTCGATCTCGCTTTGCGTGGTTGAGCATCACTGAACTAAATGTATAAACTATAAATAAAAATTTAGTGAATGAGTTTAACGTGCATCAATATTATCAAAATATCACCTAAAAATGTTAGTCATTAGTCATAAATAAGAGCATCAAATCATCTGAAGTAGTTAATATTTGTTGAGCGTACCTGACAAATAAACAAGATTAACTTGAAAATAAAGAGAGAGTATTTGATTTTGAGAAGTTCACTTTAGATAAAATTATATTCCTTGGAGAAAAGAAAATTATGGCAAAGGTAGTTGCTGATGACACTCAGCTTATCGTATCAGAAGAAGTTAAGATTTGTTGAGCTTTTTGGGAAATCATTTTCTGAGTTTTTCATTTTTTATACGGTGGAATTAAAAGGTTTCAGTTTTTGGGATTTCATTCGAGATTCCATATTTTTGAGCTCTAAATCAGGTATCGAACTTTCATTTTACTTTCTGGCATTTGTGTTTTCTGATTAATTATCAGCTTGTGAAGTGACATCCTTGCTGGAACTGAAGACTAACCCCTCTGTTATTGATGGGGTTAATATGCTGTCACATCCTCCCAGCAGTTATGAGTATGGAAGATAATAAGCGAAAAAGCATTGACTATTGCAATTAAAGAAGGGCTGTGCTCAGGTGCTTTCTCAGTTCTTTATCTTTTATCCTTTCTATTTAGCTCGTTATCTATCTTAGACACTCACCCCTCCAGGATTATTTCTTTAACAATTTCTGGTTCATCGTATGCATTTCATGAAGAGAACATACTCTTTATGCATGAACTACATCTGTTGTCTGAAATGGAAAAACAAAGATGCCAACCTGATAGTGTTCCAAGAACTAGTTTGGTACCTTTGGCTTTCCATGAAGAGGTCCTGTGCATGCTTGTGGTGAGGAAAATGTATTCATACAGTTTCAAGACAAGAAAGTTGAGGTTCAGCGTATCCAGTTGAAAATTACGATCCTCGACATCCGGTTATTCCATATTCTGATTGCTTGACCTCTATGAAGGTTCCCAAAGGAGACCAGAATAACGGGGACAATTCCAACAGAATTCGAAATACTGATACTTCAAAGTTGGGAGACCAAAAAGGAAAAAAATGAATCCCACAAAGTTTATGGATTATTATTGTGGATGCTAATCCTGATCGACAAAAATATTTGACTGCTTTGTCAGCCTTATTCGTAACTATCCAAGTAGCCAATGTTATTTCTTGCAAAGTTTTTCTGTTCCTAATTATGGGTTAAGTTCCTGTTACATCCCATTCTTCCATTCCATGTGCTTATTGATCATGCAAGCATCCAGGCATTTGATGTTCTACTATTTAACCATGTGTTTCTTCTGTTTCTGAGATTAATTTGTTCTCTTGATTTCCACTTTAATAAACTTCTTGATCAATCAGCAGACATCGTTTTTATCTGCATCAACCTAGGTACTCCTAATTGTATCAGATTTGTAACATTCTCGTCACTACGTATTTATTTATTGCACTTTAAACTGAAATGGCATGTCAAGTTAATTAAACTCTTACAACTGTCATTATTTTTTTTATCAACCTCCTTTAGTTATTGGCTTACTGCATCAGATTTTGAGGATCAGTACTGTCTGTTGAAAATTTTGGCTTTCATTTTAAGCTAAATTGCACTATCAGGTCAAATGTAATTTAAAAATTAATATGCATATTGGCCACAGAATTGCTAGATAAAAAAATAGATAACAGATGAAGCATTTGTGATTATTTATTGACTACATAAAATATTTTTAAATGTTATAAAATTAACTTCTGAAACTATCTCTGAGCCATATAGTATTATCATAATCGATGTTCTATTTTGATTGTTAAAACTCTAAAACCAAGCTAATAAAATTTACAAGTAAAAACTTTGAAAGTCACTTTGAAATTCATCTAATAATAAAATTAGATTATTTAGTGATAGGCTCTGTCATCTTACAAATTATTTTCTTTAAATCATCACATGTGATTGAATATTTCTACCTAGATTGAAAAATAATTTTCAACCCTCTTTTTCCTTTTTTTCTCTCCTTGTAATATCTATCTTTCTCTCTTATACATGGAGTAATTATTAAGAGTTATTATGTAGTAATATAAAATTTGTGTATAAAATCACATCGAAATTCATTTAATAGTAAAATTAGAATTTTGATTGACTCACCTGACAAATTATTTTCATTAAATCATCACAAGTGATTGAATATTTCCATCTAAATTCAAAAATAAAATTTTCAAACCTCTCTTTCCTTTTTTCCCCCTCTCCTTGCAGTATCTATCTTTCTCTCCTATATATGGGGTAGTAATTAAGAGTCATCCCATAGTAATATAAAAATTTTGTGTAATATCAATAAATACATGACATGAATATTAAATTCTGCCGAACAATATCTGCTATAGAGGAGTGAGAATGGTGGCAAAGAAGGAAAGTTAATCGTAAAAGAGAGGGAGTAAGATTTGTAGCAAAGAAGGGAAGTTGGTGGAGAGTAGGGAGGATGGATTATATTAGAGTACTCTAAGTCCGAGGCTGGCACACAGTTGCTATATGCTTACTTCTCTTAATTCTGATCCCTTCCAAGAGCTTCACCAATCGAGTGCTTGCCAATCATCATCATCAGGTATTTTTACAATTAAACTATATCTTAATTTCTTTGGTTTTCTAGGGTTTACAAATTTTACATAAATCTTTATGATTTTTTTTATTTTTTTATTTTTATCTAATACTAGTGTTCAGACAGACAGAACAGAGAAAGAAGATGTCAGATTTTTTCCAAAACAGTGATGTTGCAACTGAAATCCTATCTCGATTATCCACAAAAGACCTCTTGTCTGCTAGATGCGTCTCCAAAGCATGGAATTCTTTCATTTCCCATCCTGCTTTTTTGCGTATCCACTCCCAATGTTGGACATGTCCCTCGGCTCTCTTTTTCGTAATTCGAGAGATGAACGGGGCTGGTTATAGGAGTTTCTTTCATTTAAAGAAGGCTATCTACATTGGTTTACATGACAGTTCCTCTGAAGTGCAGAATACACTTTTCAGGTTTCTCCCCGAGCGTGTTGTCCTCATTGCCTCTTCAAATGGGATTCTTTGTTGTCACAGCATGGTTCCCTATGCAACGATTAAAAAATCTCCAGATGCATGTTTGGAGCTGTCTATTGTGATATATGTCTGTAATCCAGTTACCAAGGAATGGGTTGACCTTGAGCCAATTAGAATAGGTGATTCTTTGCTTGGATTTGAGGCAACTAGAATAAGTAATACAACTCTGTTTTTTGGATTTGCGTTCTATCCCAATGGTTTTTCAGCTAACAACACTAAACCATGCTTTAAGTTGGTTGGCATTCAGAATTCAAATGAGCTCTCGAAGTCGAATCCAAATGAGCTCTCGAATTCGTATTCTTTTCTGATATACTCATCAATGACAAAGGTATGGAAAACTTCTGAGGAAGTTTGCTACTGCAATTATAAAATAGATCAAAAACATGCGATCTCTGTTGGTCATATGTTTCACTGGTTGACAATGTCCCACTATATCATCACTTTCGATGTGGAAAAAGAGCTCTCTGCAGTCATTAAATTACCTGGCCCTGAGACGGCAGGTGTGGAGTGTCTGGGAAATTCTGAAGGCTATCTCCATTGTGTCACTGCGACTCTTACCAAGTTTCAAGTGTGGATCTTGAAAGATTATTGCAAGCCCGAGTGGATGCTCAAGCATAAGTTAAACCTGGTTGAGTTTTGCAGAGAGCACGCTCAGCTTTTAGGTCACCATTTGTTGCCCCAATTGGAAACATGCGAACCTGAGACAGTCCCAAGTGCTTATATGGAACCTTTGGCTTTCCATGAAGAGGTTCTGTGTATGCTTGTGAAGCCAGGGAAGGTATTTTCATACAGTTTCAAGACTAGAAAGTTGAGTTCTCACTACACAGCATTTGCAGTGGATGGTTATGTTCGAAGATATCCAGTAATTCCACATTCCGATTCCTTGACTTCTATAAATGTTGCCGAAGGAGACCAGATTAGTGGGCCAAGTTGAATGGAATCTGAAATGATGCTACCCAAATGGAATAAAATGAAACCCACAGGGTTATGAATTATTATTTTGTGTGGTAATCCTGATCAACACAAATGTGTGACTGTTTTATCAGCTGTGTTCTTAAGTATTCAAGTATTTAAGTTGCCAAAATTTATTGCAATTTTTTTGTTTCCTTTTATATCCCATCCAGAATTCAGTTCATAGAATTATCAAAAAGGATAAAATAATAAAATAATTTCCATCCACAAAGCTTCTAGATGAGTAAAATTGTTTCTTGTTTCTGTTAACCAGTCAATTCTTCCATGTGCTTATTGATCATTCAAGCCTGCGCATTTGCTATTATATGTAACCACATGTTTTTTCTGCCTCTTGCATTTGTTCTCTTGATTGCAAATCAATCAACTTCTTCAATTGAATTACATCATGTTATATGTATTTATAGGCTTGTCTTCAGAATCCCGGCTATGTCGCCAATTGCCTCTATAATATGGAAACTAGATGCTTCAAGGATGCGAGTTTTGGTTTTTGACATCGAAGCATCACATATTTGTTGAGTAATAACTGAGTTTCTTGGAAACTAGAACTTCAAAAAATCCTTTCCTTTGGATTGGTGTTCTTTGTAGTAGGCATCTGAGAGAGAACAATCAATTAAGAGTTAATTTTCTATACTCTTACTGAAAATTTAGAAACAACAGCTGGAAGAGATCAAGATTAGGTAAGAAATAGATCTATCATCCGACTTCTCTCTTATTAATGTATATATTGAGAGATGTAATTCAATTAAGCAAATGGATGCTTAATTAATGCACGCAATTGTTCAGTTTTCTCTTGTGATTTTTGGATTCAGAATTGATGCCATAGTTAAATTCACTACTGATTGATGCTTCAAACTTCGAAATTATTGTTGGAGATTTTGCATGGACTTGATCAAATGAGTTGGTTCGGTTGGTTCTTTAGATTTGTAAGTGATTTTAGTTGACATTTTATTTTGTCCTGTTTAATATTTGAAATTATGAATACATTAAGCTCATATTGATTCAATAGGCAGGGTGGTGAATTTTAAGAATGAATGGTGTTTCCGAAGATGAGATTTCCTCAATAGCCATCTCTCTGTCCCTGAACATGTGCATATGTGCGCACATATGCTTGCCTGTATACACGAGTGCATGTGTGTTCATGTATGTATGGCTATGACTTTGTATTGATTGTGCTCTGAGGTTATGTTTAATAACTGCCCTTTTTTGGTTCAAAGTGTAGGGTTTTCTTTTTAGGCTAAGAAATTTGATTTGCTTATTTCGGTAATTATTTATATTATTGTATACTGAATATGTTGGGAAGAAGAACAAATAAAGTTGTGTATTCAGATTATTTGTTCTGTCTTGTTTTATCTAGAACATTACAAAGCTTTTTCTTTCAATGTTCATAGAAGAGATATAGACAGAATAACTCCTGAGAAGTTGAAAGAATTTTAGGTGTCTTTGTCAAGAACAGAATGATAGATGAGCAGTCTGTGCTTTACCAGTTCATAATAGAAACAGTGTCGAAAGTTCTGTAATCTGTGTGCTTTCAACTATTTTTTCTTAATTTCTTTTGCCCTATTTTATTTTGTTTTAGTGATGTCTGTTGTGCAATCCATGCCTGTTTGTGTCTTAGGTATGGCACACCAGGTCCCATTCTTCAATCTGTTATTATTTTCTTTTCAACAAGTAGATTCAGCTATCTCATTTTACGGCCCAATCATCTCGTCGTCAGGAATTTTAATAACAAGCTTTAGTGAAACAGGGAAGAATATGGTTTCTATTAAGAAAGAGCTCTCCAGGTATAAGTAGACCTTGCTTCTTGTATTTAATTTCATATTTCTTACCTGTATGATTTTGCTCTCTAATTGACATTCCTCGAGAAGGATCAGAGGATCCAATTTGAATCTAAATTGACCATTTCCTGCACTGATTGAGTTTTAAATTCTTAAGATGAGATACTTGCTACCTTTTCCACTTGCACTTCATGGGAAGTTGAAGGTTTTTTTTTTTTTAACGCTTTTTAAAAATATTTGCAGTTCTTCCATTTTTTGTTTTTCTCTCTTCCTCTTCAAAATATATGATAATAGTTCTTTCTTTCATGAGATAGCCCAAGGTTAGTAATTCCTTAATCTTAGCATTGAAGATATTTAAATTTCTTTCATGTTGACAATGCTGTGTGAAATATGGATGTCAAATAGAGGCTGCTTGGGAACATATGTAACATATTTTTTCAATTAAGTATAGAAGTTAAGGCATCAATTCAATGCAATTTGTGTGTACAATTTCAAAAAAGGAAAATAAAAGAAAAATGCATAAACATTAAGGCATGTGGTTTTCTTTCATTGATGCAAGTAAATGACAGGCTGATTATCATGGCAACCAAAAAGATACATTGCTTCTGCTTCATAATCACGTGAAGCTTTAAATGTTCCATAAATACTATGCCATGCTGATTAATTAAGCAATCTTATCTAGTCTAATCAACTTCAAATATATGATTCATGATCTTATTATCAGTTTAATGGAACAAGAATGCTTACAAGGCTCGAGGTTTTATGGCTTTGGCATGATGCATGTGTTTGTGGCGATGAGGATAGGCTACTGATCAGAGCAATCAACCATCTCATAACCAGACAGCATATTTTTCGAATCTGGTGGAGCCTGAGCATCCTGGTTGAGCTTCCACAAATTATCCGACAAATTCAGTGATTCTTGATATAAAGAGGACTATATTAATGGATGCACATTGACGAGGGACGCTAACATTTATTCTCTTCAAAAAGATGTAAGTCCAGAAGTGATACAATTTATTTGCTAGATACACAATAGCTAACTTATATTAATACTATCAAAATATTACCTTAAAAAGTTTAGTTTTTAGTCATTAATAAAGATTTCTTTATGGAGTGATTTTGTTCTCTGACATGAGGACAATTGGATTTAAGTTGGATTGTAGCTAGTGCAAGAACAGTATAGTTAAAGTAAGAAGCTTTCCATCGTGGTCAAATTTAACACTTTCGCTGATATAAGAAAACTTGGAAAAATAAAGCCAAAAAGTTCTATTTTGAGAAGTTCACTTGAGATAAAATCATCTTCCTTGGGAGAAAAGAAAACTATAGCAAAAGGTGCTGATGACTCTCAGCTTCTGGTTAGCAGGAGAAGTTTAAGATTTTGTGAAGCTCTTGGAAATCACTTCCTGGATTTTTCAAAATTCAATTTTTGAGCAAAAAATCAGGTAGTGAACTTTCGTTTCACTTTCTGGCTTGTGTGTTTTCTGACTGATTATCAGCTTGTCGAGTGGAAAGGAGTATTTTTTATGTCATTCAGTTTGGTGCATATATATATATATAAAGATGACAAGTTCAAAAATTTAACTTTCCAAGAAGTTGGTGACTGCTTCTTGGAAGTTTGAGAATTGAATTTTTAAGTTCCGTAAGTGTAAATTTAATATATGCTAATGTTTCTATTGAAATTCATGTTTAATCGTTGTGAAATGAAAATGATTTATTGGCTTTGAAATCCATGAAATCAGATTACAAAGTGATTGTGATTTGAGATGTTGCTCGTTATCAGACTCTTTGTGCATGGTCATGGAGAAACAAAAGTGATCCTGAGTTTCCAATCATAGAATCAAGGTTTTAGCTACTTCCAAGTGATTACATTTTGAGATTTGTGTTATTTTTCTGTGATAAATTGAACATCATAGTGGAGAAATTGAGCACTTTTAAAGGAAAAATGGCTGGTTTTCGTGGAGTAACAGATAAACATGAAGTGATGGAAAAACATCTGAGTTTTGGTGGTGCAGCAGAAAATAGTTCAAGTTCTCTTGGAGTGATGGAAAAAAATCCAAGTTTTCATGGAATGGAATGGTTTTCGCAGATCTATGGTGAAACAGAAGAGTTTTGTAGTGATGTTGCAACCTCAGTTTTAATGGTGGTGAGATGAAAGACCAAGGACTCTTCCTGGAAGGCATGGGGTGACTCCCAGATTCATTTGGCAGCTTGAGCGAGGGATTTCATTAGAGTTGAGAGATTCTTCAGAATTCTGATGATAATAATCCAAGTTTCTGCTGGCAATGCAGGCAGAATCAAGGAGAGAAACTCCCCTTTATGCAGCTACAGCGAATAGGCATGCTGTGGTAGTTACTGAGATGCCGGAATATATGAACCGGGAGACTGCATCTGTTGTAGCTAGGAATTGGTATGATCCCCTCCATGTGGAAATAGAACAGGGTCGTTTTGGTGAGAAATCATTCCGCATTTGCACTTTGTATTCAATGTTCTCCATTAACATTATTTGGTAACATGCTTCTCTAAAATAGTTGTAAACTCACTTGAGCAGATGAAGTAACTGATTTAATTGTTTGTGCGATATCATCTTTTCCATGAATTACATTTTTCTTTGCATGCTATCAAGTTTTTTCACATACCAATAAGCGACAGCAGCCTAAATATTCTGCAAATCTTGTTCAGGAGATAATAGATTTTCATGGGATATGTACATCAAAGGTATTTTTCTTGGCACTACCTAGCCATTTTTCTGATTCAAAGCATGGATTATGGATGTCTTGAACCTATTTATGCAAGAAGTTCTAGATTTCAGAATGGTGAGCATGAAATTAGAGATATGTGTAGTTTCAAGACTTTCCTTCTTTTTAGGTTATTGCTTATTCTCTCTCTTTTCTCATACTGTAACTTGGAGAGGTCTTGAAGCCCAACTTGGTCATGATAACAGATTTTTCCTATGCAACTGCCAGGCATACAGCTGCGACACAAGCGCACGATATTGATCTGGTCAATCTTTTTTTAGAAATTGATCCGATTGTTTTTAGGTTGGTTGGAATATTGTAGGATTATACTGTCCTCCATTCAGCTGCAGGGATTGGAGCACTTGGAAGCTGTGAGGTCCCTCCTAAACAGGATCCAGGTACTGGTTGTAGAACCCAATAAAAAGAACAAACTGTGCTGGACATGGCTTTGAAAGAATAACATGAGGAAATTGTGCTGGAATTCTCTATTATGAATGTGGAATGTATTAAGGGAAAAAGCATTGCATATTGCAATATAAGGACTCTGCTCAGGTACTTCCTTGTCTCTTCATCTTTCATATTTTCTACATATATGAGACATCGGACTACATCCATCCAGGATATATTGTGTGGCAAATTCTCAACAGTGTTCAAATGCAATGTCGTTGCTTCTATCCTAGGAAAATTCATCATATAGTGTCTATCATAACTTTATATGATGAAACAAATGGATTTCATCATACAACGATACACCAACTGTGATATCGTAGTGTAATATTTATATGCTTGATCTACGTTAGAGTTTTAACACATTGTGTAAGTTATAGTATACGGTAAGTATTGTGCGCCCTCACAGTAATACTTACACTTATTAGCGACACTTATACTACACTGTGTAGCACTGAATATTCCCCCTCAAGCAGATGGTGGCGGCTGAGGGCCAAGACAGAGCTTGGACCATAGAAATTCAAAGTGATCAGCAGAGTGTGGTTTGGTTAAGGCATCCATGAGCTAATCCGGAGAAGAAACAAAGTGAACGAAGGCACTGCGAGAGACCATTCCACAGACAAAGTGATAATCCACTTTAACCTGCTGGGTATTAGCATGGAAGATAGGATTAATAAACAAATAAGTTGCACCAAGATTATCATATCTCAAAGGTAGTGGAGAAAGAGATGAGAAATGAAGCTCACAAAGTAAAGATTGAATCCATTGAAGTTCAACAGCACCATCAACAAGGGACTTATCTGAAGAAGACTTGGCAACAGTTTTCTGTTTAGATGATTTCCAAGAGAAGAGATTTCTACCAAGATAGATTGCAGAAGAATTGGTAGATTTGCAATCATCCACGCTACCCATCCCAGTGGCAAATGCTCAAGGGGTGGAGGCCCAGCAGTGTCAAAAAGCGTAGAGCAGAGTTTTGATCGACTTGAATGGAAGTTTTATTTGATAAGAGACCATTTCGATCGACTGTTGATAGGTGATGCCAACGAGAACTGTGAAAATAATAAACGATGCAGCGGAGATCTACTTCGTATACACTTTATTCGTTTACGCATTCGTGATTCTGAAAAAATTTCTTTGTTTGATGGTAATTTTTCAAAGAAGAATTTTGTAAGGTTGGTGTCTGATCTTGAAACTTTTTTTTTTTTTTTTGAATTTAATGGAATTTCAGAGGATGAGAGGATAGAGCATGCTTGTTGCCCATTTGATGGTTATATGTTGATAGGTGGAATGACCCTCAATCCTTCAAATTTGGTGAGGGAAGCCCAGAATTTGTTCTTCACCAATTATGAAAGAAAAATTAATTGAAGCAAATTTTAATGATTCTTTTCAAGAAACTCTTTATCATATCCGAAAGAGATTGAATCTTTATTTTGATAGCTATTTTTCACCACAATCGGATATTTCTTGTGTCGAGGGAGGAGGGGAAAAAAAAGGAAGAAGACAACCGTACAAGGAGATTTTAAAAGCATGCATGAATATGGACCAAATTGACAAAGTAGAAGACATGCGTGGTTTGAGTAAGATTTGGAAGTTAATTTTGATACTATCACGAAACCATTCTTCATAAATGATGGATCTGCTACGGAGTCTTTAGAGGGTGAGAAGGATTGTATTGATAAAATGATTAAGAATTAGTCATATTGCAAAGAAAATTCTGACAGTGCCATGTAAACGCAGGTATGAGGAACGAAAAGTAGCAAGCCCCGCCGCAGCTTCCATTGCAACGTTGACGGCGCTACGTCAACACACAATAAGAATGGTTAATGCAATGTTTTACCCCTAAACTATTGAGGTTCTCACATATTGAGCCCTATGCTATCAATTTGGTCAATTTTGACCTTAAACTATTATGTTTTGTATAAATATTATCCTTCTGTTTGATTTAACCGCTATAGTAGCCCTAAATCTTTGTAAAAAAAAAATAATTTTAAATGTTTTGAGTTAAAATTTTTTATATATGCTAATAAAAACTCAATCTGCTTTTCAAGATAATTTCAAAAAAATTTGAAGTCAAAAGGATTTTTTATTTTTTTAACATTAATTATTAACAAAATTGAATATATATATATATATATATATGGAATGATCCCAAATTTTATTGGAAGGCCTTAAAAAATCATATAATTTATTTATTTAGTCTTAGTATTATTTTTAAAATATTTGCATGATTGAATATGTAACATCTAATCAAGGTTACATTTGATTAATTTTAGGAACTACATATTTAAAACTTTTGAGAACCACGCTAAATTACCTAGGTAAATACATATGACCTCCTAAGAGCTTCCAAAAAAGTTTGATATAATTCCAACTTATTTTCTATTTTCTTATAATTTATTGAATTTTTATTGTTAAAAAAAATTAAAATTATTTACGAAAGTGGATTGAATTTTAATTAGCTTCCACAAAAAAAAAAAAGTCAGTTGAAAGTATCAAATTTTGAAATTTGTTAAGGGTTTTTTGATCAATACAAACCGTCAAATCAATCGGATGAATAATATTTATCCAAAATATGATAGTTCAAAATTAAAATTGATCAAATTGATAGTATAGATCTCAGTTTGCCACAATCTTAAAGTTCAAGGGCAAAAATGCCATTAAAATACAATACACGATGATTAAATTCCAGCTCAAGGAAGAAAAGTTAACACAGCGAATGAAATAATTTGATTAAATTTCCATATATTAAGGACTCAATTGCCTGTTATGGAAACACAAAGGTCCAAATATCACGAAATCAATATCACAAGGACCTCCATTGCCATTAAACAATTAATTCAGCATCAACAACTGGAATTTTCAAATTAGATCAGCCTCATATCATCCCTACAGTTGGGTAAATGGTAATTGACATGATCAAGTAGAGCCAATCCAATTCGTAACCCTAACACTATTGAATCTGTTTAGAGATCCATTTTATCATAATCGCTCCCCTACATGTTTTCCCCTTCAAAAGAACCGTAATCAACTGGTACTGGTGTCAGTTAAGATTAGCACTTCCCGCACTCAAATTTGGCACTATTGGGATGAGTAAACCTAACAGTATAACAAATACCGCCCATTTCAAGACTTAATCAGGAGTCAGGACCACGGCAACTGGGAATATTGAGAATAAGAATAATTCCACGTAGGGTTACAGTTCATATTATAGAGTCGTACATCATCCAAAACATCAAATAGTTGATGAGCAAATCCAAGTATTCTGTACAGAAATCATAATTCTGGAGACTCTTTTGGTTTTCCCAGGTCCATCTTCAAGCCGTCATGTTTCAGCATTTCTCCCCCGGACAGCCAATCTCAATTTTTCACCGCCAGAAATATGCCTAGTAAACAATCCCCATTTTTACAGCCACTGCTAAATGAAGGAAAGAAATCCAATGATTCTACCATATACCTTTTACTAATTTCTTAATCATCCACACAAGCATGTCATGAGAAATGTTAGAATAAATTTCATGATGTGCCAACAAGATGTTTTGATCCTTGGGTCGCGGCAGGAATAGCCAGTCCAAGCTCCTTACATTGCTCTTCATCTGGATGCAGACTCTCTGGAATTGCACCAAAAGCTCTTCTTGATGCTTCAGAACCAGAAGCCACATAGTGCACATATGCTGATACATCCTCCATTCGCTGATTCAAAGACACAGAAGCAAAGTTCTTTGAAAGACTTTTCGCTGGTTTCCTTGCAAATTCCTGGTCAAGCTCAGAAACCACCAGAAATCGTTCTGTTGCAGCCTCCCATGACAACTCATGCCTCTGTGCATCAGTCAGCTCAGCAGGTTCTTCAGTTAAAGCCTTCTTTATGGCCTCAACAAATTCATTGCTCTTATTATAAGTTCGGCAATTTGGAAACTTCTTGAAGAAGTCATTCGATGGGTGATTGGCACATACAACAATTTTGCCCATTGCCAAAGCTTCTGCCGTTGTCGTGCAAACCACGTCTGTGGTGCTTGGATTCAGGAACACTTTATAACTGGTGGAAGAGAAAGAAAAAGGATATTGACAAAAGTTCCCCAACAGGAAAAAAAAAAAAAATTGGAATAATTCCTGATTGGATTACAGTTGCAATTTGCAGATAATAACCACATTTGTTCAGCTACTATTTGCTGACAACTGGGAATGTTTTATTATCCAATATAGTAGAAAATGATTTATCAAACTTGTAAATCAGAAGTAGTAGCACAAAAAGCAAGAATCTTACTCATGGAATACAGGATCTGCATGATCACGCCCAGGATATACTCTGACTACCAGATCTAATTTTTTAGCAGCTGCCTGGACTTGTTCAGAGTCTTCTCCACTGCCATATAAATCTACATCAAGCCCAATTAGCTCCTTTTGATTGTCTCGAATAAGTTTAATAAGCTCCTTGTAGCCTTTGCTCCACACCATTTTTCCAATGTAGTAAGCACCTTTAGTGAAGGCCTGATTCCCACTCCGCTGTAGCTCTATCTTTTTCTTGCCAATCTCAAGGAACTTAGGATTCACTCCATGAACATTGCAGATGATGGAATTAGGATAATCCTGGGTAGCAGCGGACAATCTAATTACCTGCATGCACATTACAAGTGTACTCTGGTCAGCAACCACTTATTTTGAGATTGTAGCAACAGAGACATGAAATGCACACAAAAAGAAACCAACTTCCTTTTAAGTGAAGCTTCTTTGACATGTAGACCAATGATCAAAGAATATAGGAGCAACAGGAAATTTCTTGATGCCCAAAGAAATTCCATTCATTATGGTGCCACCTTTATTTAATATATTTTTGAAAAATAATGAAACAGACAAGGATTTACTACTAACTTTCTTTCCTTTTTTTTTTCCTTCCTCATTCGATGGATACTGTTAGTTGACTGTCATTGACACTTTTCCTCGTTCACATCAGGGCAATATAGCTGTCTGTAGTAGTACAATTTAAAGGCTCTCTGACTGTAAATCAGGACATAATTATCAGAAATTAACAAAGAATAGGATTACTTTAGTAACTGAGAAATAAATGATTTACTGCCCAACAAACACAGAAGAATATCACTTGACAAAAGGATAGCGATTACGCATAAATCAGGCTTAAAAAGTAAACATTGCTTATACTTCGATCCAAAAGCTAAGAGGTTACACATGTCAAAACAAATTTCCAGCGATGGTGTTTCAATGAGGGATGATGGCACTCGTTGGAAGTCACACCCAATCAATTAGAAAATCACTGAATGCACATCGTTTACATGAAAAGATGCAAAAAAATTCAGAATGCATGAAAGTAGGAGCATAGAAATCTTTTGAAAGAATTCTCATTCAAGTATTAACAAGCTATTCAAGAGTGACTGACCTAGCAAATGGAAAGTCTTAGATTTTAACTGAAACGGCAACATTTAACCAGTCGAACATAAATCACTGTTTCGTAAAACTCACAATAACGAAGAATCATACCTTGTGGCAGTATATGTCAACAACCCAACTGTTAATATATTTAAGAAACAACGCTTTAATTCGTCCATTCTTCTCTCTCTTGACATATTCCAAATAATTGGTGTGTATAATTCCTATCACAAGGCGGAATTTAGTTTTCCATCTCTTCCCATGATGAAACCATGTGAGATGTTCAGGCTCCTCAAGGACCGCAATGTCAGCCTCTTCATCGGGTATGACTTCTGAGATATCTCCTACGGCAAGAATGCTTCTTTTATCCAGAGCAAACTGCAAGACATACAACACAAAAAATAAGCATATAACAACGTCCATCACCAACTAATACATTACGTATGGTAAATTGATGATTACCTTGGCGGGGTAGAATTGTATGCTAAAACCAGGGGAAAATGAAATCCTCTCCTCAAGCCATTGACGGACATACACTTCTTGCTCAGAAGGTGAAGTGAAGGTGATATTATTGGGGTAAACTAACTTCTGATGTTGCAATGACAACCACGGAATCACCAAAGTGACCTTTCTACTCCCATCTTTCCCAAGATACGCAGCACGAAACAGAGGGTTTACGGCAGTTCCAGTCATCCAAGGAAGACTCGCCGTTGTAAAAATTGCAACATGTTGTTTCTTATTATCCATTTATTCATAACAACTCTCAACTTGGAGAAATTGATTTCGTTTCTGAATTAAAAAAATAAAACAATAATAAGAATAAGAATTAAGAGAAAGAAATAAAAATCTAAGGAATTTATAAGCTTTATAAACAATAGTAATCAAGAGAATCAGCAACATTTAACATGCGAACAGACAGACGCAGAAAAGCGAAGGAGTAACAAGAATAATTATCACCTCTGATATTTTAGGAAATTATCCTTCTTCGTATTGGAAAAACAAACAAAAAAAGGGGGTGAAAATTCGGACAGGAAGATACAGAACAAACGGAAAATTAGAACTTAGGAATGTGCAAGATGATTCGTGGTTGGTTGGGTTGTGTGAGGGAGAAGGAGAATATGCTTTTCGGTCCCTCTCCTCTCCGTCTCCTCCCTCCTTTTTTCCTACAAGACAGGTCAATTGTTTACGGTGTCGTCACGGCTGTCCATCTTCCGATTATTGGTGGACCTGGGAATTTTGGGCGAAACGGTGTCGCTTTTGTGAACTTAAGGGTTCAAAAGGGTTATTGGACGCTAAACAAGGTGTGAGTGTCTGGACCCGAGGCACTCCCTGGCTTTTGCTTACGATATTAATGGTACAATCGGTCCCTGTACTCTTATATCTTATTGTTTTGGATCCTTTACTCTTTTTTATATTATTGGTCCCTTTACTCATGAACATTAGTTCGTGTTGTCCCTCCATCCAATTTTTATCCGATTCACCGTTAATTCTTCACATGTAGTAAATATACATTCATATTTGTTTATATAATGTCAATAATTAACGGTAGACTTGAAGGAGGTTGGACGGAGAGACCGTATTAAGAAATCTCATAGATTAGAGGGACGAGCCAAGATAAGAGAAGGGTAGAGCTGACATGTTTAAAATACGTTTATAAGTATAGGGACCAAATAATACAATTGATCATGTTGTCGAAGTACTTTGGCGAGAACCAGGTTGAAGGTGCAAGTTCAAACTCTCTGATTATTAATTGCTTGAAGCATAAATAATAGAAAATTGAAAAGGAACCGAAGAGCATGGACTGGTAGTTTTGTATAACAAGAAGCCCCCCAAATATTCAAAAACCAAACCCTAACAACAAATCTTAGTTAATTCAGAACTCCTCAAAGTTTAGTATTTGGGCTCTCAAGATTTGGAAGACCTACCAGGTAAAGCAAAAATTCACTTTCTTTCCACTTTCATAGACTTACTCAAGTCTATATTTTCTACCATTTGGTTGCTCATTAAAGCTCTAATGGCACCAATTTAGCTACTTGCTTCTAAATGAAGGTGATTGTCTGATTCTGAACAATATTTTACCAAAAAATGATAGATTTTGGGTTTGTTTCTTTTGGCATTCACTACAGTAGTTCAACCATAATTTTTGTTCTGTTGTGTTTTTGGATGAGTCGAATGTAGTTATTGAACTAATATTGTAAATGGAGGTTTGATATTGATGTTTTGCATGTTCAGAGAGCTTGAAGAATGTTGATAGGACATGCTGATGTTTTATCAGAACTTGGGTCATCAAGAGATCACCCAATTGCCTATCCTGAGTCAGTGTTGGATATTGAGGATGAAGAAGAACATACACTGTATGCAGCTTCCTTTGAAGAACTTGCAAGAAGTCATGTTAAATATGACACTGTTATATGGGTTTCTATATCTTTGTTGCTGGTTTTAGCTTGGGGGATTGGCATCATAATGTTGCTATGTTTGCCCATTAGAAGATACTTGCTTCAAAAGAATATTTCCTCACGCAAACTATATGTTACAGCTAATGAAATAGTTTACAAGGTACTCATGTGTGTGTTGTGAATTCTTTTCTCTGGCTAATTATAAGAGAGAATTGGCAGCATATATGCGATTCCTATATTTTCCTTATTATTTTTCTTGTGTGAAGTTTTCAAGGCCTTCGATACTCTTTTGGCGTGTTAAAACAATTGAGAAGCGCACTCCTCTTTCCTTGGTGATTGATATCATTATTGAGCAAGGTATTGACGCAATATCAGTAGATTCTGGTTGTGACTTATTTCCATTGCTATGTGATTGTTCGTTGTTCCATTTGCCAGATTTATGTGTTACATGTCTGATAGTCTAAGATAGATGTATGTGTGTGTCTGTCTAAAACCATGTTGCCCAAGTATATGACCTAAAGAGAAGAAATGACTATGCAGTTTTTCTTCACCCAGGCTACATGGTTGTATAGGTTAATTTCCTAGCTTTTTTAATGTTGGTCAGACAGCCGCTGTGTTTTTTTTTTTTTAGTAGTATTAGTGTTATTATTATTATTCGCATAATTATTGTTGGCTACTAACAAGTTTTCTTGTCAAAAGTTTGGGTTGCTACAAGGTAAACTTTGAGGGAAAGTGGGGGAACGAAAGGCCGCTAACTAATCATTTAATGTACTGCAAATTCACATATCTTTTGTCTTGTTTGGATGATGTTATGAATTTTATATGCTTCTTCTTAAGTGAAAGATGAATGTTTTAATTAATTTTCTTTGTATGCAAAAATAAGCCCGCTTGAATGAATGTTTCAAAAAGATTGTTGATATTAATGTGTTCTAATTTTCATAGGTTGCTTACAGTCTGTTTATGGAATCCATACATTTAGAGTTGAAAGTATTGCGCATGGAAAAGCCGCACCCGTAGATGAACTACAGGTTCAAGGTGTCACTGATCCTGGAGTTTTGAGGAAGGTATACGAACTTGATTGGTTACTTTACTTTCTTATTTCACTTTAAATGTTTTTCCCCCCAAACAAGATGAACAGGAAAATAGTTGGTTGTGAACAATGCACTTCTTGCAGGTGATAATAACAGAAGCTTCAAAGAATGTACAGGATTTTGGGAAAGGTTGGAAATCCACTCCTACTGGTGAAGAGGAGAGTCCTTCTAGAGTGAGATCATTGAGTGAGGGACCAGCTATATTTAAATCACCCTCCAAAAGCTGGAAGGTAATTCTTAACCTGCAAACTTTTTCTGTGTATTCTCTGGAAGTTGTTTCCAACTCTTTATCATAAAATGCCAATGCATCCTTTTCCTCACTTCAAATTGAGATGTGTATCCCTTTGAAATATTCTTACTCTAGTGACTTCAATCTCACTTAGTAACATAGTTGAGCTTTTTAGGCCTTCTTCACGCTGAATTATTCAATTTGTTACAACCCAAACCATTATGGATTAAGTTCTTATTGTAGATGTCTTATTTCACGTGCTTGTGGAGAATGAACCTTGGATGCAGCGGTTCTTCTTACACGCACTAAGGTGTGAGTCAGTTTGGTGTTGTGCAAGTTCTTTACTCTGTCGAAACTAAGGCATGCCTCCAACTGGTTCTGCTTGCAAAACATTGAGGTTTTGTTTACTTCTCTAACAAAAGTGCAGTCCATTTCGTTAGATATATAGTCTGAACTCTCAGGAGGATGGATGGTGGGTGCAGATGCGTTACTACATTCATCAAATTGATGTACCTAAAACTGAGAGATGCCGCTATGCTTTGCAGATGAGAGGTTCACCACGCTATACATCATCACAGCATAGAAGTTCACCACGCTATCCTTCGACGGAGCATCGAGGTTTAATACAAGGGGAAATGCTGCTAAATAAACTCGAAGAAGTCAGTAAATCAGTAAAGGTATGGACCTTATACTTTCTTTGTCTGGTATTCGCAAATTCAAACAAACAACATAGCTTCTGCTATCCTTTGTTCTGAAAATGTTTTCATGTCTTCATCCTCTAATGAAGTGCCAAGTATTCCCTTAAACACTTGCCCACTTTCTCAGAACCTTCGATTCAAAAATTTTATTAGTTGTCCATCCTTATGACTTTCAATTAGCCTAGCAAATGCATGTTTTGACTTTAGTTTCTTGTCAAGGCGACAATAGTTGCTTCTGTCAAAGTCCCTGATTTGCCTATATTTGTCGTGCCAGAAAATTGAGTCGCTTATTGAGAAGTCCAGGGCGTCTCCAGAAAGCAGTTGAAGTGGAGTAAGGCCCTTTCGTTGGGAAGGACTCGTTATATAAAAAATTCAGTTCGGTTATTTTTTTTATTGCACCTAAAATTTCAGCCAGTTATTGGCCTTTCCTTCCATTGCAGGTAGCTTTCACACGAACAGAATCATTGTCTGAACAGTTTCCTGTTTACAGTGACTTACATTTGTTTGTAGTACTTGTTCTAGTGGATTTATCCGTTCCAGCCATACGTTCAGATAATTTAGTGCATGGTGCAAAGCTAGAGCTCTCCAACTATTTTCCGTTTGCGCTCAAATCCACAATTCCCAAAACTAATGAGATTTCTCGAGATAATCAAATCTTTTTAAACTCCAGCAATCCTCCGATTTTGTCAAATTCGATTCTTAAATCTGAAAGGATTTAGGACACCTGTGGGATTTCTACCCCTAGGTTGTGCTCATATTTATGCGATATTCCGTTAAATATGAAAGGATTTCAGAATTGCCAGGTCTAATAGATCCTTTTCTAGGCATTAAAAAACAGAAACTTTTGGGCATTAAGAAGACAACAAGTGCTCAGCAGCATGTTTATATAACAAATATTCTCATTGAAATTTTTTTCCTGAGGAAACTCATTCGTTACTCCTCACAGCGACAGGGAACTGGACTTTAAAAGTCTAATTTCTAATAAAATTTAAAATCTCATCTTCCAAATCGAAATCCATAAACATTATACTAAAATTGGAGGAGATCAGAAGTTGGTTAAAAAGTTATCGGTCACGGTTAAATCAGAAACACGGACCAAAAGTTATCTCATCATATCTCCCTAGTAAGTCGCATTGAGATTACTAAAAGAAAAACATACAATCAAAATAAAAAGGAGGGACAAAATGGAATCATCAGAGACTTAAATATAGGTAATCACGAAATTAATCGATCATTTTGTTGCAGTTTTTTCTTCATCACATGATATTCATTCTGTCCCTCTAGTTTTAAAAACCAACCCACATTCACAAAAAACTGATAATTTTATACCTAAAAGGCAAGAAACATGAAAACCCAGCTAAGGGAGAAAGAGAGGAAGAGAGAGAGATGAAGCTTGACGAAAGAAGGAGATGGACGTTTTCTGAACAAAGCGCATGTGGTTTATATAGCAGGAGGCAAAGGGTGAAGAAACCCTAATTCAGCGTGCTCCAGTTTTGCGACTCGTTGGCGTTCACTTAAACCGTTGGATTATCCTATAAAATATTCATATCGACGGTCCTGCTATTTCTTATTTCTTTTATATTTGTTTCTCTGTTATAAAATTTACTCCTTTAACTCAATTTCTCTAGATAGACGACGGCAAATAATTCACAAAATATTGAGTAATATAGTACTAGATTTTTTTTACCAGTTAAGTTTACTTTTTTACTAATTTTTTTTTATGTAACTAATTCACAAAATATTAATAATTCTTTCAAAATCACTCTTTTGAAAATGCAAGGTCTAAAATTGTTCATGTATCAGCTACCCAAGCTATGATCCCAACAATTGAAAAGTTTTTTGGACAACCGAAGGCAAATTTTCCGGAAAAGAAAAAAAAACTATGGTAAATCTTTAACCCTTGTATAATATGTTTACTTTTTAATGATTTCAATATAAACAGTCTTAACAACAATTTTTATTGAACTCCGCCAATTTTTTTTTCCAAACGGCTCCAAAAGTCCAGCCAGCTATTGTTCTCCGATCCAAACAAATCTTGAAAGGTGTGTTTGATAAGCTGGATAAAAAAAATAATAAAAAAAAAAACAAATAAAATTAGATTAGAGTGAAGTGAGTAATAAATAAAATTGGATTGAATTGAACTATACTTTCTCGTATAGAGATGATAATTTTGCCTGATCTGATTGGATCGCATTATTACCCGATCTGATAAGAGTCAAAATAAATAAAATGAAAACTCAATCCGATTTCATTTAGATTGGATACAATCTGTTCCCATTCCCAACCTGATGCTTTTGCTATTTTTTTCGAATATGTTTAGTTATTACAAACTCTGAAAAACAAACCTCATCGTTCACAATCTACTTTTTTAAATAAATTTTACTCTATAAATAACCAAAAACTTTATTGGCATCGATTGCAAATGATGTTTAATTACATAATTTTATATTTCTAAATCATATATAGTATTAATATTTCAAGTTTGACTTTTTTTAAAAAAATAGATTATTGGTATGTGAGATTTTTTTGTATTAATTTATTTAAACATGATTTTTTTTAGATGCTTAAAAAAACTTAAAGAAAAAATTCAAAAAAAAAATCTAGCTCGGATAAAGTAGCCAACAGTAGCAAAAAACGTTTAACCTAATCCGACCTAACGGGGATGCAGATGATAATTATGGACGTATTGGATTTAATGTCAATACATAAAAAAATATGTTATAACTCGATTCATTATCATCTCTGATATTCTTATCATGTATGCACACTAAATGATATCTGTATTTATTTTTATTTTTTTCATTATGTTGTAAAGATGTTTTCAGATTAACTTAAACGTCAATTAAAATTAAATATTTTTTCAAGTGAATTCAAGGATATGTTTTTTATATAGATTTGATATATTTAGAAAAAATTAATAAATTTTACTAGTGGTGTTATCTAGATTTGAACTTAAAAAATTAAGAAAGAGAAGAAAACTTCTTAACCAACAAAACTACTCCTTAAAGTTTAATTAACTTTGCTAACTAATGCTAAGAAAAATCACAAATAATTGTTAGTAGACGCAATCTATAGAAAGAAAAAGACCTGGAGGTAATAAAAAATGCTCCACAAAAACATCATCCCCAACAAATTTTTTTTTTTTAAATTTTAATAAAACCTTCCTCGTATTCTTTTCTTTTCGGCAAATTTTACAATTTTGCTACCTCTTTTAATGTTGTTGTTATCCATAATGTAACGTCTGACATTCAATTTATCAAAAGCATGTGATTAGGCTATTTAAACAGGTAATCAAGATGAAATATTGGTTATGTGAACAAAAAATTGTCCACTTATGGATGAAGTATTGGTTACCTATCTAAATTATTGATTAGATATATATAAACGTGAAACTATTTTGTTTTTAGGAGGATAGTTGTAAATACATTAAGAAAAAACAAATGAAAACTTGTTAGTTAAAAATAAACAATAAAAAATAAGATAGCAACAAAAAAACATATATCAATTTTTTTTTTTAATCATCGACGTTAAATTTTTTTTTAATGCTAACTATAAGTTTTTTTTTTTTCAAAAGCATTTTCCTAAAATAATCATTTTTTTATACATTAAGAAAAATATATTTTTATATGAATAAAATAGTTATTGTCACTTATAGTTGATGAATAGAGGTATTAGGATGTGAGAAACAATAATATCGATGATAGTGATGGTGATGATGAGTAGTGAAGTGATAGTGATGATAGTGTTAATCTTAGTTATGGTTGTAATAATTTTACTACTAGAGTTGTTGCTATATTGGATAGTGATAGTTGTTATTTACGGTAGTGCTGATTATATTTTTAAATCATATAAGAATCGAAACAATCATGTGATAAAATATAATAAATTATTTGTGAATATTATTTTACAAAAAAAAATAATGAAAAACATGACCAAAAAAAAGATCATCATAATATTTATAATAGCCATTTTTTTTTTGTTTCTTAACATGTTAAGAAAAATAACTATTTTATTTATATAAATAAAATAGTTATTTTCATTGATAGTTAATGGATAGAGGTAATAAGATGTGAGAAACGATAATATTGATGATGGTGATGATGAGTTGCGAAGTGGTAGTGATGATAGCAATGATTGTAGTTATGGTTGTGATAATTTTACTAGCGAGTTGTTATTATATTGGATGATGATAGTTGTTGTTTATAGTAATGGTGGTTATATTTTTAAATCATGTAAGAATTTGAAACAATCTTGTGATAAAATATAATACATTATTTTTGTATATTATTTTACAAAAAAAAAACCAAAAAACCAAAAAACATGACAAAAAAAAAAGGATCATCTAAATATTTATAATAGAGTACCGTATTACTATATATCTAAAGGAGGTTGGATATTTGAACGACAAGTTTCACTCGTTCACCCATTCACAAATCACTATTCACCTTTTTTTTTTTTTTTTGTAATTTTAAATTGTTTTATTTTTGGTCCTTAGAATTTTAAAATAAAAAATTTACCACCTAGCCGATGCACTACACGTGTTTTTTTTCCCATCAACTTATGTTCTTTTTTTATTTATTTAAGTGGGTGTTAAAATTTTAAAAAATCATTCGTTATTTTTATCATATAAACTGACAATTATATAATATATACGATATATTTTTAGATTTTAGAATAAATGTATACTATTCTTATTGTTTAAAATTGATCTTTTCAATTTGTTATAAAAATTCACATCAAATTAACTTTTATTCTTATTCTTATATTAAAAATTGACCATACATCTTCCAACAAAATTATTTTTTTCACATAAACCGATGATTATATAATATATACGATATGTTTTTAGATTTTAGAATAAATGTATACTATTCTTATTGTTTAAAATTGATCTTTTCAAATTGTTATAAAAATTCACATCAAATTAACTTTTATTCTTATTTTTATATTAAAAATTGACCATACATCTTCCAACATAATTATTTTTTTCACGTAAACCGACGATTATATAATATATATGTTATGTTCTTAAATTTTAGAATAAATATATTCTATTCTCATTGTTTAAAATTGATCGTTTCAATTTATTATAAAAATTTACATCAAGTTAATTTTATTCTTATTTTTAAATTAAAAATTAACTATACATCTTTCAACATAATACAAATTATTTACTATGAATATTTTTTTTAACATTACAGAACCAATTTATTTAAAATAAAATAATTAAAAATATTTTTTAAAAGAACCAACCAATTATTCAAATATAATTTTTTATGCTAAATTTATTGATTATTTTTAAATAAAATATATATATATATATATATATATATATATATCAAATGCATATACTCGAGGACAAAAAAATCTTTTCACCAACATTAAATAAGAATAAAATTTTATTTTTTCATTGGTTAATTTTTATGCAAGTCTATACATCAATTGTAATTTTATTTTTCAAATACATTTTTATAAAAATATATATATAATTTTAAAGTATTTTTTTTATGAATTCTTAATTAATATTTTAGGTTTAAATTATTATAAGTTTTTATTTAAGAATCTCTAAATAAAAAAGAGCAAATCATGTTTGTTTTAAGTAGAAATTTTATGAAAAACACACAAACAAATAGTTATAATGAATAAGATTTTTTTTTATTTTTTTTTTGTAAAAGTTTATCCATTAATTATAACTTTATTTTTTGAAATACAATATTATAAAAATTATATTTTAAAATTTTTTTAATTCTTGATTAATATTTTAGTTAAAATTATTATAATTTTTTATTTTAAAATAAATCCATAAAGAATAATGATTTATGTTTTTTTAAGCAAAAAGTTTATAAAAAAGCATTAGAAAAAATTAATTAAATAAAAAATTATAATTAAAATTTTTAAATTTTTAAAATAATTTTATTATATCGGATCCGTTTTGTAGCTCGAGTAACCGACTAGTTACATACTAAAACATATGTATTTATAGTTGAATAACAAACCATATCATTTTTATATTAAAAAAAAAAACAAAAACAAAAGGAATAATAAGACAGGTGAGGCTAACCTTGGAACTTTTAGAGGTGAACATGTGTTCAATAACAATTATTATTATTATTATTATTATTATTATTATTATTGTTTCATTAATAGTATTTTGAAAGTGTTTAGAGAGACAAGACGTAACGGGTGGGACTGTGTAAATGAAATAGTAGGAGATGAGACTGATATGTGCCGGGTAAGACAGACACAACATCAATTTTTGTTCATATTTATGTTTGGTGGTAAGAGATGAGATGGAACAAAAGTAATAATTGTTTGATTTATGCTTGCAATGCATTTCTTGTTTATGCTATGCTTGACATATATTTAAATATTTATTTACATATCTTTAAATATTTTTTAAAATATATATTTTCTTTACTCAGTAAAAAATATCTTAGTTTTAAATAAAAATACTTACATATATGTATTTTATTTAT